GGTCCTCGCATTCGCAGTCGCGCGTGTACTCGACATCTTGGTCGCAGTTTTTGCTGATGAGGGGAATGAGACCGAGACGGTGGGCGAGGAATTCGTCGGGCAGTACGGAGGTGTTCTTTTCCACTTCAACGAGATCGATGGCCATCGTGGGGATTTCGGCGAGCATTACTCGGCGGAGGGAGTTGGCGAAGGCGAGGTCGACGGAGGTGAGTTTGAAGTCAACGCGGGTGGGTTCAGCCTGGTAAGAGTCTGAGAGTTAGTAAAGATAGTTGGAAGGGTTTGATGGGGTGATTGTGTTGTATGTGCTGGCGTTGGTATAGAAGGTGGATAGGTATAATGGTAAGAGGTGGACTCACTTCGCGGACAGTGACTTGGGGCCCAGTGGGCTCGATATCCATCTCGTAGTCCATGGTGGTTGCGGTTAGTAGCGCAGAGGCGCTACCTATCGAGTGGAGAAATGGTTGTGGTGGTGTAAGATGGAGCAGCGAAGAGAGGACTGATGCTGGAGGGAATGATGAATGGCGAAGGAGCTGAGGTCAAGTTCGTCGCCGACCTGCAGCCCGCGCTTTGCCTATTCGGGTAATGCGTCTGCTGCGGCGTTTGCCGCAGATCAAAATTCTGAGGTCAGTTCAAACTTCAAAGACTAAAGAGCAACAAAACATATTAAATTTAGTGTTAATTATATATGGGCTTAACTGTCTTCAGATCTACGGGTCTACGATCTCTACAGGCTTACTTTAAGTTACAAACTGAGCAGACAGCCAGCCCCTATGGTCTTCTGTTGCCTCGCAAAATGAGGAGTATGCTTGCTTTCTTCCTTTGCAGGTCAGATTCCTAGCTTGCATGAGCAAAAGGCAGTCCATCCCCAGCACCAACGGAGGCACCTGTCGACAGCTCTCGAGCCAGAATAGCTGGCGGGCCATAGTCAACCAGCAAGTCGTCGCAAGGGTATATCAGGTCGAAGAAGTATAAAAGAAAAAGAAAAAAGAAATGACCCTCTCCAAAAGCAGATGCCCGCTCCAACCGTAGGATGCGATCCCAAAGCATGTCATGCTGACCCCATCAACTTTTGCTCCATCCGTCGGCTGTGCCGCCGCCAGACCGTACTCCTCTAACATTCTATGCTGACGCTCCGTCATGGATTCTATAGTGGTAAGTGCGCCTCACGCGCGAAAGCCGTCGGGCTGCCCAAATAGCCCGAAGAAGAGAATTAAAACCAAAAGCAGTATAGCCAACCAGAGGCAGAAACCCAGGCAAATGAATCGAAGCAAGAAGGTAAAATCGAGAGTAGCTTTTCTTTTCGGTTTCAAGATTCATGTCAAGTCGTCATGGAGCTCTAGCCCACGGGCAAGTCTCCATCATTTCAACTTCCCCGCCCTTTTGAGCGAGGGAAGAGAAATGATACGCCATCGCTACCTCCGCAGGGAGCTGCGATTCAGCGCTTCCAGAAGCTCGGGACGACTGGCAAGCGACTCAGCCGCTTGCGCGTAGGTAACCCATTGACGCTTCCGCTTGTGCATCTCGGGCCACTGGTCCTCTTCCCGGTCCACTGTGACCTCGAAGAACTGGTATGATGCTTTCGGTGCCGTAGACGTCAATAACGTCGACGGCCGCATGTCCGGGATTAATCCCAGGTCTTTGTGCACCGTACATATTATTCCACCCTCTTCCCAGGCTTCTCTACAGGCAGCTTGTTGGGCGCTTACTTCATCGGTCTCCCAACCGCCTTTAGGAAGCACCCAACCGCCTCGCCCCGCGGACTGAATCATGAGCACCTTCGTCTTGTCCGCGGACAATGGAACCACACCGGCCACGAGTCGTTCACCTTTCGGTCCGTACCCTATACACAACGCGAGTTAGCCACGTTGCGCGACGAAGAGTATTGCGTCATATTGAAAGTTGCTGTACGTGCAGAAACCGGCGAAAACGGTATTGCGGAAGAATTTCAGATGGCTACAAGCCCAGGGGTGTTACTCACGTTGGTTTTTGCGTCCCACACGGGACTCCATTGAGCGAGGATGATCCGCCATTTTGAACATTGGAAATCAAGATAACGAAAAAAAGAATAGAAAATAAAAGAATAAGAAAACACCAGGGAAAAGTCTAAAACGCGGTCTATATAGCAAGAATTCGAAAACCAGTGCGACACAGCCAAGCTGTGCTTCACGCGACACAGGTATGAAAGGAATGGAGAGATTCAAGGTTGAGGGAAAAGGTCAATGACACCGATTCCAAGACACGATCGGTGTGACGACACTGTCGGTGCTAAGGGAGGCGTGAAATGTCCAACGACGGAAATTTGAGACAAGAAGAAGGCCCGGCCTTGTGGATGAGGAGCTGGCCGGTGAACCGTGAGTTCCTGTCTTGTTCCCGAAGCGAAAATGGGCCAGGCGGTCGAAGTAGGCCAGGAAATTTTTTGGGGAGGTAGAAAAAAAAAAGATTTAAGACTGGAGGGAAGTTTCAGGAACTAGGTATCCCCGTTCACTCCCGCGGCGGACGGGAACCTGGAAGGAGAGGTGTGAAGGTAAAAGAACATCATAATCGGAGGGATACCAGGAAAAATAAGGGAACGGATAGGGAGGAAGAGAGGGACGGAGGGAGGGGGGGGGAGAGGCGAGAGGACGGAGGGGGGGGGAAATCAGAGACAGCTTTGGGGATAGTAATGGGCGGCGCGATCCGGTCAGGAAGGTCGCTCGCTCTCTGTGTCTCTCGCCCGGAGCGGACTTTGCGCGCTCTTCTCTGTCTGTCTCCCTCTTACTCTCTACTTTTCGCTGGACGGTACCGTCTGGGTACAACCCCAATACTGTATCGCCGGTCTCCCCGTCCGTCTGCCCGGGCTGCTTTCCACTGCTTTTCCACTGCGTTCTCCCCTCAACCCGACGCGGTGGGTTCCCGTATTACTGGTTCCATACGGGTTCTTTCGGTTCTTCTGCTAGGTACCAGTTACCTTACTGTACAGGTACCGCCGCTACTCAACTTACTTACTTTTGCCCCCCCCAAAAGTCAGCCTATGCGACTTGCTCTTTTGAACGCTTACTATAATGTCATCATCCTAATCGCTGGGATCTTTTTTTCCGGTGGTACTATTGTTCGGTCCCAGGGGTCGTCTGCTTGCTCTCCCTCAATTCTCCTAACTGATCCTTTCCCTTACCATTGTCTACTCTTTATGGTACTCTAAAGTAAAATTAGAAATTAGAAATCCCCAGTCATACGTAGTTTTGTGGAGTGTGTCCGAGGGCAATCCATGAACTAGACTACTTTGCACTATATGGGCCATCCCACCGGACATGCTGATACCTCCCAAGCGTAATTCTGGCGGTTCCTCTGGGTCGATTTGGCTCCTCTCTTCAGTGGTTCACGCGTCCGCAAGTCACAGACTAGGTCTGTTGCCCTCCCCATGAACTGCTCCTGAGTCTCCCGAAGGTCTGCGGACTCCTCGGAGGTTCCACAGCAAACCGGCTGGACCAAGGGAGCAGGAGTCCTCTTTTCCACATCCACACACACGCACACACAAAACGGGAATTAATTTTGCTTGGGACAGCAGCAGCCTAGAGGGTTACTGCAGCTTCCGTTGTCCCCTAACTCCCATCTCGGTCGAGTCGGTACTTACGGCTTAGCAGTCCATCTCATCTCCCAGCAACCAAACGCTGTGCCCGCTCATCCATTTACACTCAAGGCCCTATGGCACTATCAGAATTAGGGCCCCAGACTAGTGGAACAGACAGTTTCCCTTCGACTCATATTACTGCTACTATTAACCCGGACCAAATGAGAAAATAATTTATCTTACTTTTTAGGTCATGTCTGTCTCCATCAGTCTAGTCTACTTTATTATGTTTCTCCTTTCGAAGGAAGCAAACTGGGCCCTTGTGCTCTCCGCCGTAAGCGCTGGTGTGTTCGAAATGACGAGGATTCAGCGTAGACATTGTGGTTATGGTTATCGATAGAGGAATACTATAGTTAATCCATCGTCCTCTCACACCGGTCCCTGATGGCTTATTGCCAACCAACCCCTTTTCCCCTTGGGGGTTAAACACACCATTACTTAATATTTCCTTAAAGATGGCTATATTTAATATCATTCCTATTACTGCCCCTTTTTTTTTCTGATATAGCCTACATATTGATTTTGTCTGGATCAAAACGAACTCACGGTGAAAAACATGAGCAAAAACCGAAGACAACCCGGAATCGGTCCACCTCGTTTACCAACTCTGGATGCGGTACTCCGTGCGACGGGGAACCCTGTGCCTACTCCTTTCTGATTATTTGCTGTGTAATACTAAATCCGTCTCCTCAATGTGGAACAATCCGCGACTCGCTGGTTTCCTACTCTCGGTTCCAATTACCCACCAGCCGATCTACGTATCTACTAACTATGTGTTGGATACTCATTCATTCATCTGACTGGGTATATACTACTTAGTTAAGTGTAAGTAGTGGTAGTAGCATCATGCAGAGTAGAATATCTGCATGTAGTGCATCAATGTCTGCACCCTTTTTCGACGAATGATATCAGAATCAACTACCACATGCGACCCGGTAGTACCTTGCTACGTGTTGAGCTATTTCCGATGGGGACGATTTTGGAGCTTCAAGCTGCATCGACAAGTGGTAATCAAATGATCTAGCTACGTTATACGTTTTATCCAACTCTTGATGAATTTTACCTTTTTCTTATGTTATCTTTTTTTTTCTCCTTCTTCTAGTGTTGTCCCCTTCCTTTATTTTTTCCCCGTACTTCCTGCGCGCAAGCTACGGATTGGATACCATATCATGCGACGGCATGCCCTGCATACATTAGGCGCCTCGGATCCTGGCGGGCTCATTGGAGGAGAGCACACCGATGTCACCGACCTCACCCAGTGAAGAGAAAGAGGGAAGTAGTGACTACTAACACAGTAGAGAAGGGGAGAAAAAAGGTTGACTTTGGGAACGGATGCGGGGCAGCAGCAACCACTCGGCCGGCCACCAAATCCTCGAATGATCGGAAGGGTAAATTCTCTGAGTTTTCCTATTTGTTTCTACTAGTATCTACATTCTGTGACCTCTTTGCCGAACAAGGGATGATGCGGATGCGACAGCCCAACAATGAAGGCAAAAGGCATCCAGACCGACCTGCGCGTTCGTGATGATGTATGCGGGCCAGGGCCAGGGCCTACATGGTACTTGCTTTACTCGCACAGCGTACCTTGCCCACCGCCGAAGAACCATGGAGGGGGGAAAGAGGTGCGTGTGGTCGATCAGAGCGTTGAAGTTGCTCGGACGATGCGGTGACTAACTGCAAAGGAATGGAACTACTGAGGTAACATGCACAGGAAAGGCTAATAGTGGCTCGAGAAACTTCCCGGTGGCGATTGGATCTGGACGCGACAACGCAGCAGCGATCTGTCGAGGTGCGGATCCTGAGATCCTAGCATCGAACAAGCCGTGATGATGCCGATGATGCTTGGACGTTGGGGGGGGGTTCCTGCACGTGATGTCATGGTCCGGGGGAGACTTTTTATGGGTGAGGGTTTTTGCCTCCTGGTCATCGCCCGATGCTAGGAGAATTCTGATTTGGACGAATTTTCAGGATCGACCAGCAGCACACTCACTTCCGTGTGCCACATTCCAGTAACTCTTAGCATCCACGACATGGCAAGATTTTGTCGCCGGAGGGTTGACACTTGGCCAATTTCCGCTTCGATCGAAGCAAGTTCAGGTACCGTCGGCTTTACATACCCCCCCGTCGTATTGTAATGGAGGCTGTCCATACAAGGCCAGACCGTATGGTATTGAACCCTTTTCCGCCTCAGGTTAAAAACCGAACCTGGCAGTTTCTACTATCTACTACACAGTAGATATTTTGTCAGGGGGCTTCTTCAGGCTAGTATTTACCTAGTAGGCCACTTTCTCTGGTTGGAAATGGCAATGGCACCTACCATGAGAAGCTATGGCCAACTAACACGTAGTGAAATCATTTTTCCTGGAGCCGTGCTTGCTCCGCATCTCCTCCATCTCCGAGGCACCGAGCAATTAGGTGGCAAAGAGACCAAGATCCGTGTAGATGTTACAAAGTACAAGGACAAGCAATCAGGTTGAACCTGACTACGTACTCGACCAGGGGGGCAGCAGTTCTGACATGCGGCAGTGATCAGGCCAGCAGCCGCTCAGGTCTCTCTTCTAGAAGCATCATCACCTTCAACCTTGTTTCTACCTCCCGATAGCAGTGACGGGGACAGCTCCCTTCAGGACTATTTGGGGAGTTCTATGATCATGCAGCACCTACTGAAGCTGCCAGTAGGTATGCTTTTTGATCTTTATCTTGTCAGGTCCGAGGTTCTTCCTGCTGTGTAGACCCAGAGCTGAGCGTATTGTTATAAGTATACGTGAGATGGCCCTGCCTGGAGGAGGGAGTGTTTGACGGTGTTGCCTTGGGCTCTCCATCTAGTATCTTCTTGTCCCGCAATCAACTTGAAAACCAACAACATCAAGCCATCCATCCATCCATCCATCCAGCCCACTCCAACTACCTCAACACACTCTCCATATCCCTTGATCTCCTGAGACGGACAATTTACTCCCGCTGCGCCCCTTGTCCTGTCTTGCTTTGCTTTTTCTTTTTCTGCCGTTCCCGCCGTGAGCGCAGCCAGCTAATCCCTTCTCCATCGCACTACTTGCCCGCAACGACACGCCATGGAGCCCATCGTCGATGCCGAACAGGCGAGGAAGTTGTCGCTTTTCCGACCTCTTGGTAAGCAGCCAGTCAGATTAGCCTTTCATTCCCCGTGCCGGCATCATTGGCCCCAGTGACACTGCTCCGTCACCGATTCTTTGGATCGGAAATCCTGTGCCCCTCTTGTCTTTGATGTACTCTTTTTGGCTGCCCCTCATTCCCGGCCAAATTCCCCTCTCCTCCAATTTTCCGGCCAAAAGCACCCCCCACGATACACACATAGTATCTATCCTCTTTGTCTTGGCCTCCTCCATCCCACTTAAGCCCATCCTATCTCTGCACTGGGACGGATATCCTCCGATCAACTAATGAGAGTCGTCCTGAGACTGCTCCATCATTATGGCTACGGCTGCGCCAACATGCCCTAACTCAACTCTCTCTAGGTTACCAGCGCAACTCTTGTGGTTACTGCAAATCTGATAATGGAAGTGAGTCTCTCCGGACCCACCCTCAATCTCTCCTTTGCCGTAGTAGTCCATCGCGGAGATGTCGTCGTGCTGCCGGATGGGACCGCTGATGCACGTCTTCTGCAGGTGCCTCCTACTACGCTAGTTCGGTTTCTGTACGCCCGGCGCATTATGAAGCTCTAGTCAACAGGGGCTGGCGAAGGTACGGCGGTTCGCCTTCGTAATGCGAGCCACATCCCACCCCCGTCTGGCTAGCCAGTCGCTAATCCAGGTCTAGGTCGGGGACACTGTACTACAAGCAGAACCTGCAACGATCATGCTGTCCTCATTATACGATGAGGTGTGTAATTGGTCCAATTCTTGTCCTTGACTAGCTTGCATTGACTTTACATCCAGGCTCGATGCCTCCGCCTTCACGCCTAGGAAAGACCAACGGAAAGCTATCAATCGTTGGAACAAATTCGTTCTAGGCCCGGAGTATATCCGTAGAGCGGCATACCTCTGCCCCAAGACACGGGAGTAAGTAGACCGTCTACTGTGGGGAGGATGTGTGAGCTCACCAATGTTTACTCGTAGGGAGAAGAAGCGTCGCAAGTGCAACTTTGACCTTCTCGGTGCAGTCCACGAGGCCGAATACAGCAATGTGAAGCGGCCCATTGACCCCAAAACTAAGAGACCTCTGGAACCCGCTCATCGATTCGAGGTCAATCTGGAAGGCGACTCTATCTCTCAAGCCAAGTAAGTGTGTAGCTGCCTGTGTGTTCAACAGCTTATACTAACATCGTGCGAGATACGAATTGTTCCTCAAGTACCAGACCAAAGTCCACAAAGAGGATGCTTCCAAATGGGCAAACAAAGACTTCAAGCGCTTCCTTTGCTCGGGAATGACTCGATCTCCAGCAAATGCTGCCAAATCTGATGAGAAGAAGCTGGGCTCATGGCATCAATGCTACCGACTGGATGGCAAGCTTATCGCAGTGGCGGTCTTGGACCTTATGCCGAATGGTGTGAGCTCGGTCTATATCTTGTGAGTTTTCAACAGTAAACAGCAAGAGAAACCACTAACAAGAGAAGCTATGACCCGGAATACGAGCAATGGGAGTTTGGGAAACTCAGCGCAATGCGGGAGATTGCTTTTGCGATTGAAGCGCAATACCAGTACTATTACATGGGTATGCTCGACACAGCCACCTCTTCTTTGTACTTTCTAAACTAATCTGAAACGAAAACAGGCTACTACATCCATTCATGTCAGAAGATGCGCTACAAGGGAACATTCCGACCGCAGTACATCCTAGGTAAGATTCTCAGTGGACTATCAACTCATTCTAATGAACATACCTAACGCATTGGCACATCTACAGACCCTGAAAGCCACACATGGGACCCTCTCGACGGCGAACTATCCAAGAAACTCGACGAACGACCCTACGTATCACTTTCACGAGATCGACAAGCCACCACCACAACTGGAGATAACAACACAGCAACACAAGAAGAAGCAGATGCCGAGATCAACGACGAAGAAGTCTCCCTCTTCGACCTCAACATGCCCGGTAACATGACTCTCGACGAAATCAAAGCGCTGGACCTAGATCACTGGCTTCTGCTGGTCCACGGTACTTTCGTGCATATGATTGTAAGCCCACATTCTCATCCTCTTGTCTACTCTTTGGCTGATTACTGACTAATCAATACAGGACCTCGTCGGATGGGAAAAGATGCCCATCGATAACCCCCAGTCAGTCAAAGGTATCATTGCCGAGTTGGCGGCTGTGTTGGGCCCGGAGGTCGTTAAGAACAGTGCTGTGGTGCTGTTCGACTAGCGGGGTAGTGTGTATGTATGTAGTACTTACCTTGCACGTGCTTGTTCATGTGGTGGAAATCGTATAGTAGTTACTACCATTCAGCGGGGTAAAAAGCAGATACTTGTAGTAAATCATGAAAGCCAACTTGACCTACTTTGAGAGACTTGTTTAGGTCAAAGTCAGTAAAGTAAGTAAAGGAGAGTACTTATCCAACACTACGCGGGAGTATATTTGCCTGATTATCGGTATGATAATTGAGTCTGATCGGATCGTGGAGTAGTTCTGAATTGGGGAATATGGGAAGGACTTCATGAAGACTTTGATGTAAGCAAGCTAGCTAGTAATATGTTTATGTAAGGAAGATTGATTTAAGTGTTATCCAATTTTTAGGTATATTTGCATATCACTATGTATAGCTGATCGGTCTGTATATTCGAGGAATCGATCACAAGAGGAAGAGAGTAAAATAATCATGCTGAGAAACATGCTTCATAACCAACAGGTGCTGAACATATATGCACATAAGACAAGACAATCTCCCCCATCCCATATCCAGACGCCATTCATGATCCAAGAACATTTACTGCAAGTGAACAGAGAAACCCTGATGGCCAAGCGATGCATCCCAAAATCTGAAGTCTAAAATCAGAGCAAATCCAATCCCATGCACCACACGCGCCCAGTCACACCGAGGACTGTACATTAAAGAGGAAGCGATGAAAATAATAAAGCAGCGAAGGGCAAATTGGCAGTTCTTAGATACCCCCCATCAGCTCCACTGGGGGCCGTGAAGTCTTGGGCGGCATCTTCTTGACCGACATCTCGATGGGGCTCATGTCCATATCGATATCCTCATCTGGGGAAGCGCTGGTGTCCTCGACCATGACAGCAGGCAAGTTGGGGCTACCTCCGTGGTCCTCGGGGTGGTAGATGAGTGTGCTGCTGCGGCTGCGCGTCTGCGACAGGGCCACGGGCCAACTGCTCGTCCTCTTGTCCGAAGTCATGGACATCGGAGTACCCGGCTGTTGTTGTTGCTGCTGTTCGATAGATGACACCACCACTCCCGTCGCTGCTTCCTCGACACCGGACTGCTCGGTCTTCAACTTGGCCAAAGCCTGGGCGAGATCACTGGCGTGGACTTCCTTGTTCGGGGGATCTTCTTGGCGCATGACCCAGCCGTGGGGCGGGGAGGGGGGCGGTGAGATGAAGAAGAGCTTGTCGACTTGGGGGGCCTCTAGGAGTTTAGGGCGGGACTCAAGGTCGTCCATGATGGGAGTAGGTTCGCCAAAGTAGATCTTGGGGATGATAGGGCGGTTGAGCAGTGGTGCGCCAGTTAGGAGTTTGCGGATGCGGAGAGCGTCGGAGTCCGTGTGGAAAGAGCAGAGGATGCGGCGGAGGGAGGGGAGGGGGGAGAAGGAGTTGAGAGGAGCCAGAGACTCGAGATAGGCTTTGAGGTTGGCGAGGGAGTCGGGTTGGAAGAGGAGAATGTCGTTCAGGTCGGTTATGATGAGGGTGTTGGAGGGAGGTGTGGGTTGCGTGAGAGGGGGGAGGTTGGACATGTCGAGAGTGAGAGAGGGTCGAGAGGAGCGACGGGCTCCGAAAGAAGGAGAAGAGGTGAGAGAATGAGGTGGTGAAGTGGTGTTCATTGTGATGATGATTGATGGTTTGTTTGTTTGTATGTGTGTCCTCAGAAGAGAGAAGGAGGAGAGAGTTGGTGGTGGTGGTGGAGGAGTAGTAGTAGTATAAGTAGTTAGCGGTGGTTGGAAGTGGAGGAGGCGATAGTAAAGATAAGCGGGAAGAACGTCAAATCTGGCAGGCGCGCTTATTCAAGGAGTCAACCACAACCACATAAATCAACTCTAATCTTTGATTGATTGAGTGTGAATTATTATTCTATTTGATGTTCTGAGAATGAACTGGAGAAGTGGTTTAAGAAGGAATTCTGCAGAAGAAGCTGCTTGCATCTTATAGGCAATGAGTGAAAAATCCGTCTTCGTCGACGGCGAGGCGCAGCCAAACGCCTTCGTGTCGCAGTGGAGATGCAAATCTGCTTCTTTTGCACTGCCTTCCACTCATCCTTCGGCTCTTGCCCATTTTCAGGCAATTTTGGCTCCGTTCCTGTCGATCTCCGCACGCAGTTCTCCTTCTTTCTTCGCTGCAATCTGCATAGTGCATTCGCCACACTCTGTCTCTCGTCCTTGGCCGTGTGGCTGAACTGCCGCTATTGCCACTAGATGCCCCCATTATTGGTGTCGTCTACAACTCATCCCCAACAATGACGATGATGCCATTCGCTGCTTTCGACTGTGGACCTCCCTGATGATTAATTCAACTGTGGCTTGACTCTCTCCTTCTCTGCTCCTTGTCGAGGCTATTGACTCCTCCTTGACTAGTACAGTACAGTAGTAACCAGGGTCTCCCGATGTGATGCTCAATTCGCTAGTGTCCAATGACTCCATCACCAGCCTCGGAATGCTTCACATGTCGTGGTCTCCACTGCCTGTGACGCATGAATGCCCCTTAGTTTCCACCCCCCTTGTCCTGAACCTTGAGTCTATCTATGTCTCTTGTGTACAAACTACAAAGTAGATACATCCCGGAGGATCCCGCATATCCATGGTTCCGGTTTCTCCGCAGACTCCATGATCCATCGGGTATGCAGCTCCGCCCCGACGGTGGAGAGCCGGCGATGAATGGCAGATCGCCGAATATACTACGCATACCTGTCCCCAGCAGCTGGCGATTTCCCAGGTTAGCTGCGTTGCAACTCCAGGCAGGCAATATTCTATGTCTTGGCTCTGGCACAGCATACTCTTGACTGCATTGCATGTACTGGCTGGCCACGTATTCGGCTCCCATACCAAGCCTCGCTGTAAGTGATGCAGCTCAGCTGTCACCCATTGCCAAAGCCCCGGGCCTAGGACCCTGCAGTGTCGGATACTACCCAGAATTTAATTGCAGCTTCTTTGCCTTGTCAAATCTCTGTCATGCTATGTCACATGTACGATGTCCCATGAGTCGTGGCCTTGCTCGTGCTACTTACTACCCCTAGAACGGCCTTCGTGTCATTTAGCTTAGATGTCATATGTCGGCTTCCTGCGAGGCTCATAGTGCCTTGAGACCGTTGGATCTCTGCTCAGCTTATCTCATTCACACTATCAATTCTCTTCTCCGGAGTCAAATTCTGTCTGCCTGGACGTCTGTGGGTAACACTGCATGAACCGATCTAGCTAAGCCCTGAGCTCTGACCACATCCGTTCTTTAGCATAGCCACTCACAGTCCCGGTGTCCCCGACATGCAATGCAACTGCTCCCTAGAGTCTAATCTGCAGCCATGTCGCACACTGCCATTCTGATGGCAATGATACATTGGTCAGTCGAACGTAGATGGCACACCATCTGCATGGCGGCTTTCACGGACATGGCGCCTTGTATGTAGCCTCCAGCAAGGCTATTCCTCTGCCAAATATGCTCGCATGACCGTCCTTCCGCAGCTTCATACGATCACAACAAGGCTTCTTCTGAGCCCTCGATTGGCGGGTGCATATGAACTCCTAAGGAGATTGAGGCTAGGTAGATGAGCCGCGCTCTGCACAAATGTTGGCGGCTGCGCTTACAACAGCGTAGGCAAACGCATTACACAGGTATATTCCAGCCAACATTACTGGTTGGATACGAACTATGGAGTTTGGGGGCCATCTGTAGAAGCTCCTAACTAATGCATCCCTTTTCATTGCTTTTGCTGTTTTTGTGGGCTCATATCGGATCCCTCCTTGGCGTTAGGGCGCAGTTGCCGAGTGATCCTTCACCGACAGTCATTCAGACACATGATGATATCCATGTGCGCTGTCATGATGCTTGATCAAAGCCTCGATGTCTCCTGCTAGGCAATAGTGACTCGGGGATCATCCACGTCTACTGAGCTGGGCTTTTGTCGCTTTATAAATTCTCCAATCACTTTCACACCGTCGAAGATAGTTTTCCGTCTATCTGGCAAGGAGTGCAGACGTTTAGTGCAAACAGCACTCGAGTCCTGGAGGGATGCCCATGAGAGTCTGGCACAATCGAACTGTCGTGCCATTGGAGACAACCATCATGCCATTCGATGGGGTCTTTCCGGCCAACACTCAGCCTAGATATCCCTCTGAAGGGCGTTCCCTGTTGGCCTTTGGTAGTGATTTCCGTACTAAGAGTCGTATGTACTAATAGCAAAATGGTCGTCTTGCTCATGGAAGGGGAAGTCACCCGGTCACTGGTGCACATGTCAATGGCCATCCATTCATGGCTTAGACATCAATTTACTAATCTCGGCACTGCTGTAGCCATGGTACACTACTGGAAGAAACCAATAGTCCAACTGAGGCCTTCAATAAACCATGTTTCTCCTGTGATGCACAGATTGTTCACCGGTGATGACCGACTTCGCACATTGATTGTTTCGGCAGTATACTCACCGCCATAATTGCCGCTTTTATACATGGAAGAAAGCATACTAAGTCCCATGCGTCATAGTCGATACGGATAGAAATCATGCATATAGACAGCAGCGGAATACTTGAAGTAAGTAGACAGGTAGGTTTGAGGCAGATGAGAACTGTAATGGATGTCAGCTAGAGCCTTGCAATGCTCATTTAAAGACAGCACGCGATCATCCGGCCCGAGGTTTCTCCCGGTGAAGGCGGTCAGATCAAGCCGCCGAAAGTTCTGCTTTCCAACGATTATCGCCGATTTTGTTCAACCTCTCACGCCTCCAATCTTCATCATACTTTGTTATTCACAGTCACCATCTTTCACTTCCTCTCCTTCCAAAATGTTCCAGAGAACCTTCCTCAGACAGGCCCAGCGGTCCCTCCGCTCTGTGCGCCCTACCTCCATCAACACCTCCGCTCTCCGTCGCACGCCGCAGCTCCCCCAGGCTGTCCGCCCAATTGCTCCTCAGTCGGCCTACCGGTTCTACTCTACTGAGAACAAGGCCGAGAATGGCGAGAAGAAGGAGGGTGAATCTGCCCAGGAGACTGAGGACCCCGTCCGCAAGGAGCTCGAGGAGAAGAAGAAGGAGGTCATTGAGCTGAAGGTAAAGCTCCCCTCTCAACACGAGCGCCCGGCCTTCCACGGTCGTAAATGGTACCTTGCAGATCGTCTAACCCTGTCACTAGGACAAGCTGCTCCGCTCGAAGGCCGACTTCCTCAACCTGCAGGAGCGCACCAAGCGTGATATGGAGAACTCCCGCAACTTCGCTATCCAGCGCTTTGCTGGCGACCTCCTCGAGTCCATTGACAACTTTGACCGCGCCCTCCTTGCTGTTCCCAAGGACAAGCTTGATGCTCCCCAGACTGAAGCCAACAAGGACCTGTTGGAGCTCGTTTCCGGTCTGAAGATGACTCAGAACATCCTTTTGAACACCCTGAAGAAGCACGGTCTTGAGCGCTTTGACCCCAGCGAGCCCACTGAGGATGGCAAGACCCAGAAGTTCGACCCCAACCTCCACGAGGCTACCTTCATGGCCAAGGTTGAGGGCAAGGAGGATGGTGACATCATGTACACCCAGAGCACCGGATTCCGCCTCAACGGTCGCGTTCTTCGCGTAAGTTATTGTTCTATTGCATGCGTACGTGGTCAATCATGCTAACTTGTTTACTATAGGCTGCCAAGGTCGGTGTCGTCAAGAACTAGACGCTTCGCCAACACTCTTAAACATTTTCTCTCCCTTTCCGCCTCCCTGTCTTATATTCTTGTTGTATAATATACCAAATACGTCTTCGCTATGATGGGGATCGACTTATGTTAATCCGACAGGCTGGAACATCTGGAATTGTTCCAGGTCTCTGTTGCTTTGTCCATGAACGCATGTGTGTATGATACACCTTACCTGTGTTGTGTGGTCTTGGTGCTTTTATATCTTTTCTGTTACTTGGCGTTGTTTCTGAACTCTCTCCTCCCTATTTTGTATATTATATCCCTGGCTGGTGTCTTTGTTCCTTTACTTCTCTCATGAAAAAAAGTGGGATTGTGTTGTTGGGATTGGCATTGGCACGGATGTGGATGACATTTGCATGGCATAGGATCATGTTGATTTTTATTGCATCACTTTGCTTGCCTGGTAGGCAATGCAAGGTGTTTTGATCTAAACGACTAATAGAAAGTCTCTTGATCAAGACGATTGATGATTTTACAGTGTGCATCTCGGTAACAACGAGCGTAAGGCACGTATCTGCGGTCTAATGGTCCGCGTAGTTCTCGTGCAATTAACAATAATAATGACTCAATATCTCAGAAATATCTATCAAGAATATCCTTTTTCCTGCCATATCCTCGTAATTGAAATGGTGAGTTGCAATTGCGCATCTCCCTCGGTGGCTCATTTTCCCGGCCCGATGTGTTTTGTAGACTCGGAGCTCTCAAACGCCGCAACCAGCAGTTGACTGCCCTCGGCGTCGGTCGTTGAATAACTCACACAGCACTCCGAGATGCGTCTCTTTGCCACTGGGAGGGCCCTGCGCGCAAGTAGTGCCCGGTGGGCAATTGCTCCCTCACGTCGGAGCGTACGCATCCCACTCTCGCAGTTGTCGGAGCCCTTTGCCGTGAAGCGGAGAGATTGGAGTTCAACGGCAATCCGCCGAACAAACGAGAATGCAGATGTCAATCAAAAGCCCTCCCTCCGGCCTTCAGTACCGCAATCTTTGACCATCGAAGGTCAGTCCTACCGCACAGATCAGTGGACGAATACTCCGGATACGATTCTCTCCCACATCGGCCGCCGCCTATATCTTGATGTGAACCACCCTCTAGCGATTACGCGCCAACTGATCGAGAGCCAGTTCCCTGGCCCGGCATACGGAAACTACACCGAGAAGAACCCTGTTGTGTCGACGGCGCAGAACTTCGATGTCCTGGGCTTTCCCTTGGATCACCCCGGCCGGAGTCGCACGGACACTTACTACATCAACGACAAGACGGTCTTGCGGACACACACCAGTGCTCATCAGCAGGCATACTTCCAACAGATCAATCGCAATGAGAGCACCCGTCCGGAGGAAGTTGGTTATACTGTCGTCGCTGATGTGTATCGGAGAGATGCGATCGATCGCAGTCACTACCCGATCTTCCATCAGATGGAAGGCGCTATGCTTTGGAAGCGTCCGGATAATGAGCCCTTGAAGCATGCTAGTCAGACTGCTGCTGCGATCATGGAAGACGTCAAGAAGATCCCTGCTCATGCCGTCGAGGTCGAGGACCCCAATCCTACGATCCACGCCCAGAGGAACCCCCTCCAGGCGGAATATCATAGCGAGGAGGAAGTTGAGGCCATCGCGGCTCACCTCAAGCGGTCTCTGGAGCGCATGGTCATCAAGATCTTTACCGAGGCCAGCAAAGCTGCTGCCGGTAGCAGTGAACAACCAGAACCCCTGAAGGTCCGCTGGGTGGAGGCATACTTCCCATTTACCAGCCCGTCCTGGGAGCTGGAGGTATTCTGGCAGGGTGACTGGCTCGAGGTCCTTGGTTGTGGTGTTATCAAACAGGAGCTGCTGAACAACTCGGATGTGCCCAACCGTGTCGGATGGGCCTTTGGTATCGGTTTGGAGCGTATTGCTATGCTTCTGTTCAACATCCCGGATATCCGCCTGTTCTGGTCGCGTGACGAACGATTCCTTTCCCAGTTCCGCGCGGGTGAGATCACTCGCTTCGAGCCATTTTCCAAGCACCCCGCCTGTTACAAGGATGTCGCCTTCTGGCTGCCCTCTGCGTCTGTCAGCGGTGGCAGTGCGGCGGGCGGAGCTGCGCCCGTGCACGAGAACGACATCATGGAGATCGTCCGCGGCGAGGCAGGAGACCTAGTGGAAGACGTCCAGCTGATTGACGAATTTACCCACCCCAAGACACACCGGAAGAGCATGTGCTACCGTATCAATTACCGGAGTCTGGAGCGCACCTTGACGAATGAAGAAACAAATGACCTACATGAGAAGGTCCGACAGAAGCTTGTGGGCTTGCTGGGAGTCGAGCTCCGCTGATGACAGCGAGAATTATTCTAAATGCTCGCGAAGTACTAAATGCCAAGTTACAGTTGGCGAGTCGAGTCCATATGTACAACAAATGTGTATTACCACGTTCAGATGAAATCACCTATCCTCCAACTTTAAACGAACGTTGGGCTAGGGAAGATCTAGCCGCGGCTGCTTTCATGTACCTTAATCTAGTCTACGGCATGGGACGTATGCAGCGTGACGTAGTGGCGATCCAAGCAGGGCCTATACTTTGTAGTAGAGAAGGATTGTCGAGACCAGCTGAGAAGCTGCCAAACAGCTATGATAGCATGCTGGCTATTCCCCGGTCTTCGGAGGTAATTTAAGCACCGAGTGCATCAGCAGAGTTACCCCAAGCGAGGCTATCTCGATGGAGGCGCCCCGCGGGTATCGAAGGACACAGAGAAAGGCTACTTGAAATACGCGCATTACCGAGGATTACCGCTCGGCCTCCTTCTGGCCGTCAGAAACCGAGACGTTGATTGGCCAGCGCGGTCCCAGACCGGTTAGTGCAGCCGAAAAGCAGGGTTTCGGAGACTTGATCTATGTCCGGCGCCGCCGATTTCTTACCAGCGTATTACTCACTTTACTGCGTCAGACTCGACTTTATTATCATCGTTGCCTTCATTCCATCTCTCGTTCAAACTACGAAATCTCCCCTCCTCCACCCCCCTCTCCACTCCCCTCCCTCCTCTCTCTGTCTCCCTCCTCGGGATCACTCTTCCCTCCGCTGAAATGTCTACCATGGCCAGCGGCGCGAAGTTGGAGGCGTCGCATCCTCCCAAGGCGGCGAATGCTCCAGCCCCTGCAAAAAAAGTTCATTATCCTTTCTGGTTCGGTGGTTCAGCATCATGCTTTGCGGCTGCCGTTACTCACCCTCTGGATCTCGGTAAGCTCTAATTCAGCCAACACCAGAAAAAAAGTATGTGCTGGAATTGAAGCTAACCTTCGTCTATAGTGAAGGTAATTTATGCCTCCTGGACTTTCTATAGGAACTCTTGATTTTTCCCCTCCGCGTGCTTGTTCCTATACTTCGTTTGTCTCACCGGAACGCTGATCGATGTGCGTTTTAAAAATTTATAGGTCCGCCTGCAGACCCGCGGGCCTGGCGCCCCCTCGACTATGGTCGGCACATTCGTGCATGTGTTCAAGAATGACGGATTCTTCGGTCTTTACAGCGGGGTATGTAGTATCCACTAAACTTCCAGGCCATGTCGATACTAGTACATGATGCTAATGTCACTTCTTGTAGTTGTCCGCCGCCATTCTGCGCCAGCTGACCTACTCCACCACACGATTCGGTATCTACGAGGAACTCAAAAACCGCTTCACCTCTCCCGACTCGCCTCCTGGCCTCTTCACCCTGATCGGTATGGCCTCCGCCTCCGGCTTCATTGGTGGCATGGCTGGTAACCCCGCCGACGTTCTGAACGTGCGCATGCAATCCGACGCTGCTCTCCCTCCCGCTCAACGCCGTAACTACCGCAACGCGATTCACGGATTGGTGACGATGACGCGCACCGAAGGTCCCGCCAGCTTGTTCCGCGGTGTGTGGCCCAACTCGACCCGTGCTGTTCTCATGACAACGTCGCAATTGGCCTCGTACGATACCTTCAAGCGCTTGTGTCTCGAGAAGCTCGGCATGTCTGATAACATGGGAACGCATTTCACGGCCTCCTTCATGGCTGGATTTGTGGCTACCACTGTCTGCAGTCCCGTTGATGTTATCAAGACTCGTGTCATGAGCGCTTCTCCGGCTGAAGGCCGCAGTCAGAGCATCGTTGGACTGCTCCGCGAAATCACTAGAAAGGAGGGCCTCGCATGGGCTTTCCGTGGTTGGGTGCCGAGCTTCATTCGTCTCGGTCCTCACACCATTGCCACATTTATCTTCCTTGAGGAGCACAAGAAGCTCTACCGCTTGTTGAAGGGGTTTTGATTTCCCTGAACAGGTTTGACGTATAGATTTGCTTCATTTTTATTTGTCATTGTTCTTTTTCCAGGCACATATCTGCGATATCCGTCCATATGCTGTGTTTTCTTGGGATAGATGGTCTCTTGCTTTTTATTTTGTTATAAACCTTTCTTTCTTGATCTCTCATTGGCGAAGCATTACCGGGAGGACAAAAGTCTTGCGCATTTCTTTCATGTGTTCATACCCTTGTATATATCTTATAGATTACATTTCCTTCATCTTTTACTGTTATCTCTCATTTCTTTCTTTTACCCTTCTATCTTTCACTTTTGACTTCCCCGTTGTCTCTTCGAGCTGGCTAAAGTGACTTTCTGTCCTCCAGTTTCTTTTTAACGCTTCGCCTACATCTCACATCTCTATCCATGTTTGTCCATTTTCTGGGACTAAATAATATGGAACAGCACGTACCTCAGAGGCATATATGTCTCCTCACTTGACATCTAATACACAAGACTTAGACCTCTCGGAACAGCACTGATTCAGAGACATCCAGCCACCGTGATTGACATCAGATTTGAAGGCCATCTGTCTCCAACCGACGTTACTAATTTTTTACTATATCTTGGTGAAAGAGTGCTTTTTGCTAAACTATATTTTCATCTATGGATTCTTTGCAGTTTAGATTAGACAAGAATGAATTACCGTGATCTTCATACAGTAGACTGTTATATCTGGACACACTGTAGCTGCTATCTGAGCTTTCGTATTGTATTGCAAATTATCATACTAGTCAAGTATCTGAAGGGCATGCTTTGATAGTCATAGTAGAACTTGGCCATATCACGTTCGATTAGTTCTCTACACAGCAGTACTAGTAGCCAAAAAAAAAAAAAAAAAAAAAAAAATCTCCAGTTGCTTCGCAATGTACATAGTGAGGTAAGCAGATGCATAATTGGGATAACCAGTTTATCAGTTCAGTTCAATGTTGTGAAAGATTTATTTTGGGGGTTGGTGATTGGTTGGTTGGTCGGTTGGTTTACTATCGGATATCATCGTATGATCTTTCGACGGTGTTGGTGCTGCAGTGGTGAGCAGGGTGGTTATCATTGAATACTATTAAGCTTTTTAGGTATTCTATAGTAAGGTGAGTGGCATGTGAGAGTTGAAATGAACGTTTATATGGCTGCCTATTTAAAATCAATATTAGGTGTTAGATGGAACAGGACAGAATAATAAGAGGATTGATGGCTACGAGGTTATGCTGAGCTTTATGGGCGCGATTTGTTTGACACATCATTCCAACTACGCGAGTCTATATACACTCGTCTTCCAACCCAGCCGAATTGAGTCTGGGGAGGGGCTCAGAGCTAACAATTCTCGCTGGATCCAACTTATAGGGTAGAGTACATGTTGACAAGACACACGAAAAACAACTTTGAACTTTCAATTAACGGTGAACAAAGTAGTTAAATGCGTCTACCGGTCGAGACGAGCGGGGAAGTTACCAGCCTCTGTAGGTTTTTTCGTTAGTATGCTGCTCTTTGATATATATATGTAGGATATAAAATCCTCTAATGGGGCTACATACCGCGCTGGCCGTCCCATCTGTCAGTCCAGGCCTTAGGGCAGAGAGAGCGGAAGGCGTGGTAGAACTGTTTTCGGTTCAATGGTGGTTAGAATCGGGTTCTGTTGGTTGTGGAATGAGAGGCAGTAGCTAGCTAACCTGGCGGCATGGGCGGAAGTCCTCGCCCTTGGCGGTGACACACTTGTGGTAGTCGACGTAGTTCTGCCAGCAGTGCTTGGTCCTGTGAGGTGGAGAAAAGATGTGTGGTTAGTTATTACAGTTCGTACTGGGAAGCAGATTGAGCGGAGAGGTGTGCGAAAATCACGTACTGGTTCTGCTGGGGGAAACGAGCGTCATAGCCTATTCATCACCTCATATGTCAGCCCACAAAACTACCTCGATCGCGACGACAGCGACGGCGCTGCGAATGCTCGAAAACCTATCCTAGACGTACCAGCTGTGAAATAATTAGCAATTGACCTTGGTTACGGGACGAATTGGACCCATTGGAGGTTGGGAGAGGGAAAGCTCACCAGTCACGAACTTGAAGGGCTTGGTCTCGACGGGCTCATCGGGGTCAACTTCAGGAATGGCACCCATTGTGATAGATTGAAAGTATAGTAACCTTAAATAGGAAACTTGGGGTGTTGATTGGAGGGGGGTGGGATGAGCGGAGGGAGGAGGGGAGGAGGTCTGGAGAAACCGAGAAAGAGAGGAGGTTCTGCGGCCGGTGGAGTGGAATGACCCGTGAAGCCGTGAAGCCGGAAGTTCACGTTTGACCGCCTCAGGCGCCAAACTAGAGGTTACTAGCGAGCCACTCATGCGCCCAGGTTTCCTAAACACCCGAACCACCACCGTGACTTCCTACCGCCTTACCTAAGTGGTGCAACCTCCCCTTCCATCAAGCTCAGACTTCCGTCACCACTTCCCGATCTTGCCATCCCACCACTTAAGTCGTTCTGATACTCAACCTCAACCACCTCGGTTGCTCAAAGCCCATTCGCCATGTTCCCTACTCGTGTTCTGCGCATGCAGGCCTCCCGGCCTTTCGCTTTTCCTGCTCCTGTGAGTTGGATCCCCGGTCCCCCGTGTTGACTTGACGTTGGGGAAAAATTACGTTTGGCAGGGTGGCTAACAATTGGCTACAGAAGGAAAACCACAGCGGTATGGGGTTCCCTCCCCGGTTTGCGCATAGGACCGATACTTGAATGATGGAATTATGTTGTTGGGGGTGGGAATTGGACTAACGCCTGGCTTCTAGCCCACACTATCTCTCAGCGTCTGCGCACTCTGAAGAGAGTCCCCCCGGAGTTGATCCCTCTCGGTACGTCGCGGTCTGAATGATTAACACCTTGCCATTGGTTTACAGCAGTGCTAACGATTCCTTCTTGAATCCTACAGGTCTGGTCCTTGGGTATGTTTATTTCCTGATATCCTATGGCTTCTACATGACATGCCGTGAAGTCTAATCCCGACCGCCTCCCACCTCCCTTCCTCTCCCACTCCGCAGTCTTCATCTGCCCTCCACTGACGCAGTTCCATCGCAGTGTCGCCGTCGGTGCTGCCATCTACTCCAGCACCCGCAAGCTCATGACCGACAAGACCCTCCGTCTGTACCGCAACAGCCCCGAGGACCGCGAGCACTAAGAATGTACCATCACATTTGATTTCAAATTGCAATGGGCGATTCTTTGTTTGATTTTTCGGCGATCTGTATCATTCACGGGGTAGTCGGGCCTTGTCGCGCGGCCAGAGTTAAGAATGGAATGCTCGAAAATTCTCAGGCTCAGGGTTGGAGCGCGTGTAAATAGTACGGCTTTAAACGAAGGGTTCCTGATGGTGTAATATCGCAATATTACTGTCGCCCGCTTCTTGGCTTCTCTTTTTCTTCGTTGCGCCAGTTTCCCCTGGCGTGAGTGGATTATCGTAGAGCTCATTCCGGCTTTGGTCCGGCCACGTCCAGTTCCTCGAGTCCTTGCATGGGATCTTGACGTTCGGCTCCGTCGATCTCGCCCCCCTCGGCAGCCAATTTGTCTTCCTCGTCGACAGCATATTTGGCCAAGTACCCCTCCTATTGTTTCATACGTAATTAGCAAATGATCTGTAATGACAAGGTGAACGTCACGGCGTACCTGTTCCCAGATAGCCGTCTTGCTGCCGAGTCCTTCGTTGCTGTCCTTCTGCGGCTTAGCAGCAGCAACCTTGATTGTCCGGCCATATAGTTCGCTTCCATCCATGTTGTCGATCGCCTCTTTCGCATCTTCGGGCAGATCAAACTCCACATATCCAAAACCGCGGTGGAGCTCGTTGGAGTTCGGGAGATCGGGTTTGGGGAGCGTAATATCAACCACTTCACCAAAAGGAACGAATGCCTCGGCCAGCGTCTGCATCGTCACGGCCTGGTCAAGGCCCCCCACGTAGACGGTACATTTTAGACGTGCTTTTTCGCTCATGGTCGATCGTAACAAATTTCCTAATTAGACAAGGATGGAAGACGTCACTGACAGGAGGGGAAGAGAAAGAGCGACCGCGTCGGGGCCTTTTCACTTAATGCCTAGGCAAAGCTCTAGACTTTGGGACGGAGCAACCTGATATCACGTGGTGCCCCCGGGGCGGGTGTTTTGGCGAGGGCCCAAAGCGGTTTAGGGGCCATCAGCCCCCCCGAGCGCCCTCCAGGAGGACACTTGGTTGATTGCAGTGACGCCCTCGATCGCATACTTGGCAACTCACCGTACATGCACCCCTCGGTTCTTCTATAGAGAGGGGAGGTTTCTTTCTTAGGTTGTTTCTCTGCTCGTTTTTCTGGTTCTCCCGCTCCTGGTGTTGCTTCTCGTCTATGACCTTTGGTGCCAGACCCTCCTAATTCGTGTCTGGTCCTAACTCTCCTAATCTATACCCTTTCCTTTTCCCGCCGCTCCTTTACATCTCACCATGGTGCGTCTGAGGGAGATTCCCCGGACGGCCACTTTCGCCTGGTCCCCCGGGGCTGCGTCGCCTCTGATCGCTACCGGTACTCGGGCCGGTGCTGTTGACGTCGACTTCTCCAATCAGACATGTCTGGAGCTCTGGGATCTGGCACTCAGCCGCCATGAGACCGGCGGAGAGCTACAGCCGGTAGCTAAGATTGATACGGACTCCGGGTAAATAGAGCCTTGCGTCTACCCTGCAATTTGCCGTGTAGGGTAAGCCGACGTGCTAACTATATCGCTCCGATAGCTTCAATGACCTAGCGTGGACGGAATCCGAAGACAACTCGCGGGGTGTGATAGCCGGTGCTCTGGAGAACGGCTCGTTGGATTTGTGGGATGCCGATAAGCTGCTTAATGGTTCCGAGTGAGTTGGCGGGTGTGCTCTATGTCGGGGCTGTACAATTGGCTGACGTTTCGAAAGTGATGCTGTGATCTCGAGAACTTCCAAACACTCAGGGGCTATCAAGGCTCTTCAGTTCAACCCCAAACACTCGAACTTGCTGGCAACTGGTGGTGCAAAGGGCGAGGTAGGCTACATGATGGAGAGGTGTCTAGACAGTCAGGCTTATGATTGGACAGCTCTACATTTCCGACCTGAACAATGTCGCGAACCCATACCGACTCGGAGGCACGGCGGCTCGCGCGGACGACATCGAATGCTTGGACTGGAACAAGAAGGTTGCACACATCTTGGTCACTGGTAGCAGTGCAGGCTTTGTTACTGTGTGGGATGTCAAGACAAAGAAGGAGAGCTTGACTCTTAACAACATGGGCCGGAAGGCAGTTAGCGCTGTGGCATGGGACCCGGAGAAGGTGAGGCGTTCAATAACATCCCTTATGTTTCCTAATCTGGGCTAACGCAGCGCAGCCTACGAAACTTGTCACTGCGACCCCTCTCGAGTCCGATCCTCTGATCTGTGTCTGGGATCTCCGTAACTCGCACGCTCCAGAGAGGACCCTCCGCGGACATGAGTCCGGTGTGTTGTCGCTCTCCTGGTGTGCCCAGGACCCCGATCTGCTTCTCTCCTCCGGAAAAGATAACCGTACGATGTGCTGGAACCCGCAAACCGGCCACGCCTATGGCGAATTCCCCGTCGTCACCAACTGGACCTTCCAGACCCGCTGGAACCCGCACAACCCCAACTTCTTCGCTACCGCATCGTTCGATGGAAAGATCTCCATCCAGACCATTCAGAACACTAGCACCGAAACCGCACAGGCCATCGCCGATCAGAATCAGGCTTTGGATGGCGAGGACTTCTTTGCCAAGGCACAGACTCAACCTCAGGTCTCGAGCTTCTCGTTGCCGAAGCCTCCCAAGTGGCTCGAGAGGCCCTGCAGCGCCACCTTCGGCTTTGGTGGCAGAGTCGTCTCGGTCAACCTGGTTGAGAAGGGACAGCGTGCATCCAAGATTAAGATTACTCCGTTTGAGGTTGATGAAGCTGTTGGGAAGTCGACCGAGACCTTCGAGACCGCTCTCAAGGAGGGCGATCTGCGCAACATCTGCGAAAGCAGAGCGGCTAACGCTGGCTCCGACGAGGAGAAGGCTGACTGGAAGGTTATTGAAGCCTTGATCTCTAAGGACCCTCGCAAGGGATTGATCGAATACCTTGGATTCGCTGACCAAGCAGACGAGGCTGCGGATAGCCTGTCTAAGCTCGGTCTCGATAAGGAAGAGGAAGTCAATGGGGAGGCGACGAAGGAATCCCGCGGGTCGGGAGCCAAGAAGCACAGGCGCCTGCAGTCGATGTTTGATGCCAATCCCGAAGCAGACAGTTTCTTGTCCGACTTGGCTGCCTCCAAGGGAGCCAAGACCAACAATCCCTTCCACATCTTCAACGGTTCGGAGAATGAAGCGGACACGGGCATTACCCGCGCGTTGCTCCTCGGTGACTTTGAGAAGGCCCTTGACGTTGCCCTCAAGGAAGATCGCCTCTCTGATGCCTTCATGATCGCCATCTGCGGCGGTCCCAAGTGCATTGAGAAGGCCCAGGAGCATTACTTCCAGAAGCAGACCAACAGCCCCAACTACGTGCGCCTGCTGGCTTCCATTGTCGGCAAGAACCTCTGGGACGTGGTTTACAACGCTGACCTGTCTAACTGGAAGGAGGTCATGGCGGCTCTCTGCACTTTCGCTGACGAGAAGGATTTCGCTGACCTTTGCGAGGCTCTGGGTGACCGACTGGAGGAAGAACTCCGCAACAACGAGGACAAGGGTATGCGCAAGGATGCTTCCTTCTGTTTCTTGGCCGGTTCCAAGCTTGAGAAGGTCGTTGCTATCTGGATTGAGGAGCTGCGTGAGCATGAGCAGAAGGCTATCGAGACCGCCGCTGATGACTCTGCTTTCTCGATTCACGTCCGTGCTTTGCAGGGCCTCATCGAGAAGGTGACCATCTTCCGCCAGGTCACCAAGTTCGAAGACACCGAACGCACCAAGGAGTCGGACTGGAAGCTCAGCACGCTGTACGACAAGTACATCGAGTATGCCGACGTTGTTGCTACACATGGTCGCCTGCAGGTTGCGCAGAAGTATCTCGACCTCGTGCCGGAGAAGCACCCCGAGGCTGAGATTGCACGGAACCGTATCAAGTTGGCTACGAGACAGGCAACCCCTCAGAGAACGCAGCCCGCCGCCGCTACCGTGACCAGGGCCGCCCTCAACAAGCCTCTCCCCCAGCCTAACGCATTCCAGCCTCAGAGAGCTTACTCACCGGCTGCGCCAGCTGCTGCTCCCAGCCCCTACGCTCCAGCTGCCGCGGCTGTCAACCCCTACGCTCCTCCGACTGCCGCTGCCAACGCCTATGCTCCCCCAACTGCCGCTGCTAACCCTTATGCTCCGCCTACTGCTTCCGCGCCAGCGCCGCCTGTCAACCCATATGCGCCCCCAGCTGGCGGTAGCAGCTACACCCCTGCAGGATACCAGCCGCCCAAGGCACCTGCTTACGGTGCTCAGCCCCTAGGCGGTGGTGTGCCTCCGCCTCCGCGTGCATCCAACCAGTCTCCTGCCCCTACCGTCACCACCTACACCACTGCCACGAATCTGCCCGCATGGAACGATCTGCCAGAAGGCTTTGCCAAAGCTCCCACACCTCGCAGGTCCACCCCTGCCGCTGCGACGGTTGCGTCTCCCTTCCCCAACCAGTCCCCCACTCTCACACAGGGACCCCCGCCACCGGCTGGTCAGCGAGCACCCTCAGTTCCCCCTCCGCCCAAGGGCACTGCTCCTCCCCCACGGATGACCTCGCCACCTGCCGTGCAGCCGGCTTCGACTACGATGCCCCCTCCGCCGGCCAACCCTTACGCTTCCTTGCCCCAGTCTCCTCCCATGGCGTCCACGATGGGAGTCCCAGCATCCATTCCTCGGGGACCCTCTCCATACAACGCGCCGCCTACCATGCCTCCTCCTCCCAACCGGTATGCTCCTAGCCCAGCCGCACAGGCTGCCAGCCCGCAACTGCAGACTCGGGCACCTGTCCCTCCGCCCCCGCAGGCAGCTGCTTCTCCGTATGCCCCTCAACCTCCGGCCGCGGGCCACTATGTCCCGAGCACTCCTCCGCCACACGTGCAGCCCCCGCCGCAACAAGCCCCTCCGCCTCAGGCCGCCCCCGGATCCCGGCCAAGCACGGCTTCCTCGCAGAAGAAGCCCGCACCTGCCCCGCCTAAGTACCGTAAGTGATCCCATACCTTTCTTTCGGTGGCCTCTGTTTCTGACTTCTCCTAGCCCCTGGTGACCGTTCCCATATCCCGGCCGACGCCATGCCTGTTTATGAGATCCTCTCCGCAGACATGCAGCGTGTGAAGTCCCGGGCCCCGTCTTCCTTCAAGGCACAGGTCGATGATGCCGAACGGCGGTTGAACATTCTGTTCGACCACCTCAACAACGAGGACTTGCTCAAGCCCAACACCATTGCGGACATGGCGGAGCTGGCTCGCGCCATCCAGGCGCGCGACTACGAGACCGCCCGGACTATCCACGTCGACATCATGACTAACCGACTGGACGAGTGCGGCAACTGGATGGTGAGTATTTCTATCCTTTTACTGAACTACATCCATACTAATAAGCTATCAACAGGTTGGTGTGAAGCGTCTCATCAGCATGAGCCGGGCCACCCCGTAAATTGAGTCAAGTTTCAGTTTAAGAGGCTATGACAGGTAAAGGAAGTAAAAAAGAACGATTATGAGTTGTATGTAAAGGAAAGACGAGTCCTCTTTTATTATGCTTCACTGTACTGCTCATTGTCCGGTCCTGTTTTGCCTTGGTAGGGCTGTTTGCGAATTGTTCCTTCATATGTCAATGTTATTACTATGTTTATTCTATTGTTGGTAGTATTGAAAAGCCGTAAGCCTAAATATGTGTCTTTGCTTTGGTTCTTCTCGCAGGGCTTATACCATTAGCTGCTCTATTCGTGCGCAGTAACAATACTATGGGAAACCACTATGTTGATTCTGTGTTAAAGCTGCTATAGGCCGACAATCATTACAATGCAAGTATAATACAACGAAGCATTGATATACGTTATATAATATATACAGTAACCATCCATCCACGATCATATCTCAACTAAATACTGACAGTACTACTGAAAGCCAAACACTGGTATCGCTATCTCCATCTCTACCTCCCCGCCACACCCCCAATCCTGCCCCCACGACCCGCAGGGAAATTCCTCGCGCTCAACAACGCCCCCTTCACACCTCTAATCTCCGCCCTGAAGTTCGCAATCGCATCCTCCTCGCCCTTGCCCACTCCGGTTGCCGCTCCACTCCCCGAATCCATCCCAGGCGTGCTATACATGCCGTATCCAGAGAGCGGGTTAAACCCAGGCTTACTGTAGATCAACCCATCCAGGTAATGGTGCAGTTCATTCAACCGCGTGCGCATCCCACTGTCCAGCGTGCTGGATTCCTTCTCTGTGTCGGAGCAGTCGCGGAGCTGGGACCGGATACTCTCAAGACGCTTGAGGTGGTCGGTTACTGCTGCGGTGGGGTCTGCTGGGGAGTCTTTGTCTGTGCCTGTCTTGTTGTTGTAGGTTGCGGCGAAGTCCGAGGTGGCTGTTTGGGTGGCGACGTCGCGGTGGAAGAGCTCCGTTGGGTCGGAGGTGATGGACTCAGTGTCGGTGGAGGATGAGTCGTTTTCGGTGTTTGCGGTCTTGTTCTTAAGGCTTTCTGGAATTACGGAGACGTTTTGCTCGAGCTTCTCGTTTAGCTTGTGGAGGTTGCTTGTTGCTGTGGAGGCCAGCTCTTGTCGCGCGCTTGTCAGGTTCGAGAGCATCGGCTTTATCAGGTATTCGCTGGCGCCGTAGAAGCTGGCGCTGAGGCCGGCGGCGCCATAGAGGGTGTAGAGCACGCTGCGCAGGGTTACGAGTGGGGGTGGTTTGGTGGGCGTGGAGAGGAATTCTGGGTAGGTGATTATGGGGGGGATGTCGCGGGTAGTGGTGGTGGTGGTTTTGGGGGGTGTTGGTGATGGGGTGGGTGTGGTGATTGAGGATGAAGGCGTGGGTTGGGTGGTTGATGATGCTGAGGCATTATTTGCTTGTTCTGGTGCTGGCGCTGGTTCGGTGCTGCTGGGAGGAGTGGTGTCCGGGGAAGCGGTCTTCTCTTCTTCCTCGGTTGTATCGCTCGCCTTGGGGGTGGATGATATGCCTAGGAGGGTATTGATCTCGTCCTCTCGGAGACCTTTATATTGCAAGAATGTCACTTTGCGATCGGTGGGAGCGTCACGGATGGACTCATCCTCGAGGAACTTGGCTGCTTGTTCGATGAGAGCTGACCGGGAGGAGTCGTCGGAGGTCGGCGATGAGGTAGACTCGGAGTTGTCATTGTTGGGGTTGGAGGCGTTGTTGGGCTGCTGCCATGAAGGAATTGAGGATGGCTTGGGCTTGGAGTCCGCCATGGTTTGTCTGAGGAGGTGTAATTGAGAAAGGCAGGAATAGGAGAGTGGAAGAGGTAAGTTGAGTGAGGAGATAGCGATGGTTAGTAGCCATGTGAGGGAAGATAAAGTGAGGAGAGACACTGGGTTGCCCCGACCTCGGCTGTAATGGTGGTATGTATGGGGGCGGTACGGACTGTACGACAGGTACTTCTGGGGGGAGATGTAGTAAGTTTGGATGCGGTTTGGGCCACAAAGGCTAATTGTGGTGACACTTGAACTCTATGATTACTGGGCAACAGGCTAGATGATGCTGTGACAGTTAGAGATACTAATATACCGCGAAAAATACGATGTAGCTGTTCGCTAGCAACCTATACTTGTTGGTATTAGTCTTGGGAGCTACTGGTATATAGTAGAAAGGTAGTATCTCCACTCAAAATATATTGACCGATCTATGAGGATAATACTATGGGGGTTGACAGCATGGGATTTTACAAGAAGACTATTTACCAACTGAAAATGAAAGAGATAGATTTGAGTACTATGGAGTATACTCAGACAATTTAAATGCAAATGCAGTTATCATATAGTATGGCATATAAGCATAAATGTTGCGGTGGACAAACCAAGATGAAAGGGAAAGGCGGCCAAGGATTACCGACCGCCTGGCAGAACGGCCGAAGCGGCCAAAGGAAGAGGCGAAAGTCCGCGGATCTTCAAGGATTCTTCCTGCTGAAAAGGAAGCATTTCCATCGAACCGGTTCATTCTCTACTTTGCTCTGGTTTTGGGTTGCTCGATCAGGTACCGACACATACGTGTACTTCTTTGCCTGCCAGTCCACTCAAAACATCGGCCACTGTTGTCCAAGCCCAGGTCTCACTTGGGGTTGCATTGACGACCACTTACTTTCTACTAGAGAAAGCCATCCCATCACCTCTCGGTGAGTCGTCCTCGTATTTGCCTTGACACACCCTCGTTGCTTTGCCCTTGTCTCCCTGTCGCGTCTCATTTGGTCAGTTCTGGTCTCTTCTGGCCGGGCCTATACATTTGTTCAACATCTGCGAAACATCAGAAAAACAGATGATTACACCCCCCCCCTCTGTCCCCCCTCTCCCCGTTTATTTACATTGATTATCTATCCCCGAGGCCTCATCTATTTCTGCCCGCGCAACCATCGGGAAACCCCTGCTGGGTCAGTCCAGGGAATAATCCCTAGGTCCCGCGTCCGGGTTGCGCCAGATACCGCACCGCCGTTGGATTGACCGCGCCTTTTTTACTTGGACTTAAAACCCATCGGCCCTGAACATCTGCATTCAAAATGCTCCCATTGGCTCCGTCCTCGTGGTCCATGTCGCGGGGAGATGTCCAAGTGGCGTCCGTCAGAGATGTGATAGGGGTGGATGTCCTGTGCCTTTCCGGAGTGCATGGCTCATCCTGAACACTGGCCCACGTAGTCTTTCTTAGCGGTGGATGATGGTAATCTGGCGCTGCTTCTGCCCATCGCGAGGATCCCATCTCTCTTGACCTCCAGATGCGCTCATTCACTCCCCTCCCTCACCCTTCCCCCTCTTCCCTGCCTCCGCAATCCCACCATCTGTCCATCCACCGGGACATCCAGGGAAAAAGCCAGATAACCCCCCCTCATCACTGTTACTCTGTTTGAGTTTACTTCCAAACACATTACCTGGCTTCCCCATAATACTACCCCTGCTACACAGTCTTGATCTGTTTCCAACTACCTTTGTTCCATCTTGCTTTACTCTCTATTTGCCATTCCTCTTTGTTAGCCCGTCGCACAGTTCATATTAGTTGAGCCTGCTTTCTTTCCTGGTTGCTCTATCCTCAGATTTGTGCGGCTGGGAATTCATCCCAGTTCTGTACTTTGCGTTCTCTGTCATTGAGAGTTTTGCGGGGATTTCACTAGCAGCCACAATGCTTTTGCGTCGCTCACTACGTTCCCGCTTGGGGCGGGATGACCAGCCGAGCATGGATGCTAACATGAACACCAGATCCACGAGAGCTGCCGCCCGGGCTGCTATCTCCACCCCAGCGGTGACGATTTCACGCGGTGCATCTGAATTATACGGGAATTCTACTCACAAGTCAATCCATTTGACAGTAAAGATGCCATCCAGCAAACTTCGTGAAGTTACCAGTGGTAGTACCCGAAGTGGTGCATCGACGAGACGTTCGGTTAATGTCTTCACGGAGAATCCCATTGTGACGGGTCCCCGTACCAGCAGACCCAAAAAGAAGCTTGTTGAAGTGGATACAAGCGATGAAGATGACCTGGAAGACCAGGAAGAAGATGAGGTGGACGATGATGAAGATGCGCCAGGTGAAGACGACGATGACGTAGATGCCGATGGTGATTTAGACATGGACGATGCGCCGCCGCAGCCGCCAGTGTCCAAACGGCAGGCGAAAGCAGCAGCAGCAGCAGCAGCGCCGAGCGGGAAGGCCGTCAAAAGTGTAGAGGCTAAAGAGATGGAGTTGGACGATGACGACGAGGACGACGACGATGAAGAGCTTTCGGAACTGGAGTCAGACGCTGAAGGCGAGCCAGACGACCAGGACGAAAGTATGATGGCCAATGGTGGTGCTGAGGATCTAGAAGGGGAAGAGGAGGAAGAAGAGGACGATTTGGACAGCGATGACGATACCCCGACCGCCGACCTGAGCAAGATGACCAAACGGCAAAGAGGTAATCTGGGTAACGACTTCCTGCAACTGCCTATGGGTGAGTCTTTACGTTCCGCATGATCATTGGAAGCATCATAAATCTGACCGAGAGCAGAACCCCAGGTAAAGAAGCATCTGACGGCTGAGGAGCGCGCTATGCGTCGTGCCGAAATGGCTCGTCGTAGAAAGAACCTCAGCGAGAAGCGGAATGAAGAGGAGAAGGTACGTACCATCTAGGGTTTTGCAAAGTGCAGTGGGGTGGGCTTTTCTGTACTTCGATGCTGATAGGAGAATCACAGATGGACACCATCAACAGGCTTCTACGGAAGCAGGCACCCAAGCGACGGGGACGCATTCCAGCTGCAGAGACAGCTGAAGCAGCTTCTGCTGACCAGGAGGTTGCGGAACCCGAGAAACCGGACCCGACGATGGTGAGGTGGGTAAGTGGCCGCGAAGGCAGTCGAGTAGGCGTGCCGGAGGAATGGCTCGGTATACCTGCAGGACGTGTCTTTGGTGGCAATGGCTCGGGCAAGCTCGTGCAGGAGGTGTAACAGGCTGGCAGAAGATGGGAAGATGGGCGCATCTGGAGCTGGGCGTTTGAAATAGGTTTCTAGGGAGGGTATAGGCTTCTATAATACTTAGGTCAGGATGTACATTTACAAAGTGGATTATTCAAATAGCTGTATTCGTTCAGTTATCCTGATACTTTCGGTAGCTGTACTGGACGTTGTTTTATTTCTATATGGCTATCTAGACAGTATTGGCCATAGATGACCGTGAGCTGTGGAGTCACATGGACAATGGTGGAAGCTCGTACTATACTCGACTTCCACATAACCTGCCTGCGTTCTTGATTTCACTGCAGTCCATGTGATTGGTACCCCACGCACGATAAAATCTCCCAGTCACCGCTAGCAGTTACGGAGAAGTCAGTGCAGGCTCCACTTGTGACTCTATCCTCTATTCCATACAGTCATGAACTCGCAAAAGGATCAATGCGGTCATTATACTGGCTATATATCACCGACCAGCGGCGTCTCAGTGTATGCGTCCCAAAGCGACTTATTCAGTTGCAAGCTAGCTTTTTTGCACCTCGGGGGCCTTCGCTTCGCTGGGTTGGGTCGCCGGCTTGTTCGAGTCCTTGTCTGAACTGGGAGTGGGAGTGGGAGCGATCTTTTGGTCTTGCGACGGCGGAGTCCTATCGGTGAAGCATTCCAGTCAGCATGGAACGGCATGCAAGAGAGATAACTTGGTAGGTCGGCCTTACTGAGGACCCGTCTTCTCCGACTGTAATTCTCGCAATGCAGGCTGGAAGGTATAGTATCCTGCAAACCCGGAAAACGTAACAATTAGCAAGCTGATGGCAATCACATGCTCATACTGAGCGAGCGTGAGAATCTCCAATACTTACCAGTCCAAACACCCATGCCAATGGCCATAAGGGCCGGAATCCAATTGCGACTCATGATGCAGACTATCCAGTGACTGCTGGGGAAGTTTCAATGCTGGAGATTGAGCTAGCAATGGTGCCGTAGCGTTAATTGAAAGAGCTCGCCGGGCCAAGCTCCGGCCGGACCGCCCGCCGGGGCAATCGCCAAAATTGCGCCAGCCTATCCGCCGTTTAAGCCCCATCGCGTCCTCCCCACATTTTCGACGCGTCGCATCGACCAGCAACCAACTGCGTCAATTAACCCGCTCAACTTTCACTACTTACCAATCCCGGTGGATCTGGACGCCCCTGGCACGACCCTCGACTGACTGGTCAGATTTTTGTGCAATTTTTCGTCCGTCTCCGCTTCCCATAGATTATCGTGTGCAGTATTTCGGGCCCTGCCGCCGTTACGAGGTGATGACTATCTAGGGAGATGGGCCATCCGCGCCTAGGACACAAATGGAATCATGGCGGGCGCGAGGGTTCGTACCGGACTCGGACTCGGAGGATGGACTCGACAGCCAGGAGACAGGAGACTTGAACAATGCTGTCGAAGATTCGGTCGCGGATATTGGTGGTGCAGTTACAGTTGTTGTGGAGGATACTACTGCCCTGGATCGACGGGATGAAACTCAACATAAGGTGCAGACAAATGCTCCTCAGGACAGCAATGTCGGAGTTGACCGTCCTGTGACTCTTTCAGAGACTCTAAATAGTGCCTCTGGGCCAACAGATCAGCATGATGGGAGTTACAAAGCCGTGGAAGAATTGTCTGCGATTTCCGAGCACAGGGAGATACCTTGTGCTGAAGAGACTATTGATGACCCTCATAGGCCTACACAGTCTTCGGAAACAGCTAACAATCGGTCAAAGTCTGTCGATGGGGACGACAAATCCGAGGAATCGTTGCATGGACTCTCTAAAGACGAGACTCCTCGTGCCGAGAAGACGATTGACGACTCTCGCCTGCCTACGAACTCCCCAGAAAAAGCTGATGCCAGACCGATAAAAGCTGATGAGGAACTGTTGCCTGGAGTCACTGAGAATGAGGAGACTCCCCGTGCAAAGGAAAAAGACGACTTTCGGCTCCCTGCGCAACCCTCAAACGCAACTGATGGTAGCGCACCACCTACCCCACAGGCTAAGGAGCACGATAATATCTGGGATTTCCCAAGTTCAGAAGACGAACTGCAGTTCGACTACCGACCGTCAAGGAGACCGCTCCATGTGTACTCGAGGAACAAACTCGACAGCCAACCGCGGCAAGATCAGGAGAACTATGACTTGTCGACTCCTTCATCCCCCCTATCGTCTTTGGACTCAATTCATTTCGACGAGGATGACCAAGGCGGCCAGGAGCAACCAGAACAACCGGAGCAGCCAACGAACAACTTCCCCGAGGATTTGCTACCTCCACTCGATCTCCCAGAGGAAATACTGCGGGAAATGTCACCGCCGGCACGAAGGTCATTACGAGAACGCAAAGCCATTCAGTTGCATCCCTACATGTTGGAAGACGCCAAGTATCGGACTATGATGCGCGCACGAGGCGTCAAGCCTGTACGGGTGGCTCAGCCGGGATTGGCTCGGCCTACAGGCGATGAGAGCCAAGGCAAGGAATACGTTGACACCGCCGAGCCCATGTCTGATAGCTTTGGAGCAGAGTTTGAGTTCCAGCCCTCATCACCGATAGAGACTCGTCCTACAGAGAGAAGGTTGTCTAGAAATTCCCCGGAACCGGCGCTACAACATGGTTCTCCACAACTGGGCCACTCTCCGGTTGGCGTGCTAGACCGGCAACCGAAAAGGCGCAAATTGACCAGGCCTCAGCACGGGCACCGATCTCACTCACGAACTCTGCAACAGCCAAGTGTAGTAATCGTGAATTCATCTCCCGCGCGTCAGAATAATGCTTCGATATTCGGTGTCCCAAGCCCACCCCGTTCGGAGGAGAATGCTACTTCTTCACCCGCAACAGGACCTTCCAACGTTTTCCGGTTCCCTCGTGGCTATACGCCGCCATCAGTGACTACCAACACAAAATTAGGACATGGAAATACGGCTCAAGAGGACGATGGGATGGACTGGTCTGGAGGCGAAGAGGATGGTGGACCTGTTGCAGCTCATCTGGAAGCGAATGCTACGCAGTCAAACTCTGAAGCCGAGGAGGCAAGCGCAGTTGAGAGCGAGAACGAGGACTTTGATGTCAGGCTGTATCAGCGTCGAATTAAAGGGGTCTTACCGGCATCGTGGCTGAGGTTGGACCAGAAACAACAGGAAGGACGCTTAAGTGCTACGCAACGACAGCGCGAAAGGATGCATTCCAGAACGGAAAATGCGAAGGGCGTTGCACGTAAAATAACCAAAAGTAACAGTACGACAATAGCACCAGGCTCAAACACAAAGCTTTCCTCACTGAGACAGCTTGCTGACCCGGATTCTGGCGATGAGGATGAAGCTAATGACGGGGACGACACGGCCGATTCCCGGCAACTACTAGCTACCCTTGGACTTGAACCGTTCGATGACAATGAATTTGGAGAGGACATTCCGGAAGACAATCGGATTGATTACATGCTACCACCTGCACCTCGTGCCGCCTTGACCAAGACCCGGCAGCCAGGAAAGAAACGACCTACGTCGGAGGGTAGTAGCATACGCTCTGCTCATGCGCCTAAACGCCCTCGGATGAAGAGACAAACAAGGCTTACAGACCCTGCTTATGAGTCTAGAAAGCAGAAGAGATCTACGCCCAGCACGCCAAGAATTGGTATCCTGGACGCACCAGATGTTGCCTCTAGGTCCCGTGGTGAGCAACCGCTCTTTCTTAGGATTGCCGCAAGAGAAGCACGCTCTCGTCAGGACAAAGGGAGACGAAGTCCCACACGGAAAGTTTTCAACTTCAGTTCGCGTGTGGATACGGAGGACGCCAATAAGTCGTTGCATGATTGGCAAGAAGGACGGCTTCGACAAACGAAATTGCCTCCGTCTCGGCCCAAGACCAAGGTAGCCGGACGACAACCGCTGGCTGTTCTTTCTTCAAACCGGCCAGCCAGGTCTCAGGGAAGAGCTACCGAAGGAGCGAGTGAGAGCCGTAGGATGGATTCTTCGTCAGCTCTCCCATCCAGAGCGAACAGTACAGCCAATGAGCACGCCACTAGTACAGAACCTCGGGTTCCTGGTCAAGTAGCTAAGACAGCTGTGAATTCTAGCAGGCTGATGCAACCAGAGCAACGGCCTAACAAATGGATTGTTCGAAGAAATCTGGCTATTACTTCGCTGACAAGGCAAGACCCGCGGCCTGCAATGCTTGAGGTAGCAAACACTCGTGGCAAGCCTGCATCACCATTGTCGTTTCAGAGGTCCCTCTCCTTGATCAACCGGGACTATCGGCATAAAGGCCTACCTAAAGCACGCCAGAGTAACTTGGTCTTAGATCGCTTCATCTCAAGCCGCAGCTCATCTCCTGCTACTGCTGGCGCCCAGACTACTGGTACGAGTCAGCCTACGAATAAAGCGAACGCCCGACCGCCAGGGGCGCGGCCACCAGCTCAGCGCCAATTGAAGAAGCGGCCGCCAAAGCGGCTGGCAGTCAATGACAACCAATGTCAACAACCTTTGATTCTGGAGTCGACGGATCCAGAACCTATCCTACAGAGTGGGAACTTACCTATAGATAGCTCATCCGATGCGCTTCATGGGTTCAAGCCTTCATATAGCGTGGCCTTCAACATATTTCCCTTGTCTACTGGCACATTCTTCCACCAAACCACTTTCCTCGGAAGTGGGAAGTTTGCCCACTCGCTGGAGTTTCTTAAGCGGGATCTTGACAGAGATGCTGGTTTCCTCTCGTTTAAGGCTGGGGATAGAACCTATCGTTGGGGCTCTTGGAATGACGCGGTGTCTTCGGAGTTCGGTTTGGTCTTGGACAGCATGATTGAATTAATTGAGAAGAGCGACGCCGGGCTGACCGAAGGACCGGAGAATGCTGAGAAGGATGGTTGTAACCTATACAAGTACCTGGTCAAGTATGTCACGGACACGCTCTCCTTCATCGACCCCGTCGACAGGATAGGGTTCGTGAGACGGGCTCTGAGCCTTGTCTGCAAGCTCAATGATACTCTGACAACTCTGGTCCCAAAATCTGAGCGCGAGATAGGGTACTTGGCAACGATATGCTCGTACAATTCTGTGTTTACGTACCAAATTTTTCAGATTTCCGAGCATGATCTTGTTGATGATGCACTTACCCAGGAAGTGTTGAACTCGTTGACGCGGGTTGCCCAACAAACTATCACACTTGTCACATCCCCATTGGGACAGAGCAGTATCCGCAAACTGTTAGCAAACATCGAGTCTCCTGAAAAGCGTGACGCAGGAATTCAGAGCGACCATCTTGTTGCCGAAGCCTATGTTATTGTCCGACACATCCTTCGCGGTACAGATAGATTAAAGGGATGTTTTGAGGAGCTTCTGACGAAAGCCTACTCGAGTCAAGATAATGACTTGGTGAACCTAACAGATATCAGCCGGCTAGAGCGGGTGTGGCACTGTGTGTTCACCACCTTGCCTTTGGATGAGCTCGATGCTTCTGGCATTGCTCGGATAGGGTCGCGCTTTTGGGAGGCCCATGGGAACTGGGCCATTATCAAGACACTGCTCCGTCCAGTACTTGATCGCTACAATGCTACGTCCATGACACAGCCAATATCATACCACAAGTACTGTAGAGCTTTGTTCCACAGATGCTTCTACCTCATTAATGGCTGGGGCTGGAGAGACTGCAAGCCAATACTTGACACTCTCTACGATTTCTTCGCAAAGAATACCCTGTATAACCTGAAGCATGAGGAAGGTTACAGGTCCCCTGCTTTTCTCGACGAACTCGACCAGAGACCTTCCTTAGAAGTGCAGCCGGACGACCCGTGTTTTCACATTCTGCTGAAAATTATTGCAAGTGGCCTGCGTTACCTGGCCAAGATCTATGACCAGAAGAAAGTCCGAAACTTTGCATGGCGCCTGCTGCCAAATCATGGCCGCGTTTATCCAAAAGAGAAGCCGATACGCCAGGAGGACCTGGATGCATTGAGGAACCACCATGATCTCCTGTGTACATTGTATTACGCTGTTCCTGACGGGTGCCGGCCTCGCCTTCAGACAATCAGGGACCTTGTCCACCCAGCCAGCTCCCATCGTGAGACATGCAACATCAGTATTCGCTCCTGGGCTAGGCTTGTTCGCTTCAAACTCTCGACAGACGAAGCTGTTACTGGCCTTGAACCTTTTTCTGACTGGCACAGTTATTTTGTTTCTGAATTGTTGAAGCAGCATGCGCTTGCGCGCCAGGAGGTTGAATCACAGAACACTGCGAGCAGCAAATTCTCCGATCAGTTAGTTGAGAGAACGATTGCACAGAACCAACGGCAGATCGAGTCCTTGCTGAAGACCGCGCTCAACGGCCTGAATACTGCCATTCGCTCAGCACCAACATTGCAGCACGCCCATAAGCTTGTCTTGGGAGCGCCTATTAAAGCACTCCTTGGTCTCTTCAACGCCCGGATTGCCCGGGTCAATACCACTGTCTCTGAGACGCTTCAAGTGATTGTCACTTACGTTCAGAAATGTGATCCTCCAGCAGCTGAAAAAGCAAGTGCCCCTGTGGCCGTTGATGAAGACAGCCAAGAGTATGGGGACTGGGCGGACATTGCGGCTGCATATGATGAGTCTCCAGCGATAAGTCCAGAAATCGAATTTGTGGGAAATGTCCTTCATCCTGCCGTGTTCCGGCTTATATCGAATTGCTTTGGAGAGGACTACTGTCCTGAAGATGCGATCCTGCTTAATGTTGTGGAGTGTTGGACGTCTATCGCGCAGACTCTGGTCAAACATGGATTGCGACACTGGGATAGCTACCTTAGCCCCTACAACGGCGACTCCTGGACATCGCTCCGATTGACAATGCAGACGAGAAAATTCACACCTCTCTTCCTGGCAAGCAGCCTTGAGAAAGATTCGCAGTTTGCAGTAGATTGCAAAGTCCAAGTGATCGGGATGTGGGTGTCAAGTTTGGTAGAGCGAGTTTCGATGCTGAAATACCAACATCGCCTAACAGAAGCTTTGCTGAATCAAGTGGTGACGGATCCGCTATTGCAGAATCTGCCCTTTGCCAAGGACCGGAAAGAAGGAAGATATCTGATCACTCTAGAGGATCTGAGCCACCGCCGGGTATCTCTGATATCGAGTGTCCTCTCCAACATGCGTGCGCATTTGCAATTACTGGAGGATGTCGAAGCCCGGGAGCTCTCCAGTACTAAACAGGAGTACCGGGAGATCATCCAAAATATGATGTCCGCCATGAAGGCAAACTATCTGGAACTGGGCAACGGTGCAGCCAGTGTCCAGGGCGCTTACGTGGACTTTGTTCATCGGATCGTCGCATTCCTGCAGCAGCACAGTCGGGACATCTGCCCTATCGACCCATTCTTCACCGACCCTGCATCATTCCCTCTACCTTCTGGCGACCCGACGTATATCGTGGCCCGGTTGAAGAGCTACGAGCCGAAACTTTCATCGGAGAAGGTAGCAAAAACGCTCATCATGTTCATTCAAAGCGTTTCTGAGCGAGCGGCGATCGATGGGCAGCAGGACTACCTCGTCAATCAACTACACGCTTCCATGGCAGATACTTATGAGGGTGGTCTTCCCGACAAGCCAACTCTGAGAGCGACCTTGTTGCAGGCGGTGTTCCCAGCCTATCTCGAGGCGTCCTTCAGCAACCCAGCATGCTGGATTCTAAGCCGCCCCATCATCCAGACCATCACGCTCGTCTTTCAGGATCTCTTGTTCAACATGGACACCACAGACTCTGCCTGCATGGCATCCCTCGTGAACATCATCCACTCCGTCTTCCAAGCATCACACACTGCCCTCCTGTCTATAACGAGCAATGCCACCATGCTGAACGACCCTGCCGTCGCAATCAGCACCGCTGCCTTCATCAGAATGATCACAGCCGCCTTGCCAATCGTCGACTACATAGACCGAGCAACCGACATGGATCAAAGAATTCTGGCTCAGATACACGCCTTCCAACACTACGTGACCTTCGCCACAAACCATCTAAACCAACCCCTTTCAACCACAGACCTATACGATATACCCCAGTCCACGGAATCCTTCAACACAGGAGACCCCCTCTCATCTATAGTCACGAACCCTCCCTTCTTCCCTGATCTCCAGCGTTCCGCAGCACGAGAGTTGCACCTCTACCTCAACGAGAGCTGGTCCCGCCATCAAAAGAAATTCTACTTTACGAGACGCGGTGCACACCAGCCCCAGGAAATCAGCATCCAGCCTTCTGTCGCTGCGGAACTCGAACAGTCTTCGCAGAAGATCCTCGCCCCTGTTGTTCAAGATTTCCTGGATGTGGTGAAAGGACTTGATCTTGGTTTAGATGGCGACGATGTCGATCGCGCTGAGGAGTCTCTGTTTGCAGCTCAGCATCCGGATCAGCTGCCTGAGTCTGAGTCTGCGGATGCGAATGCGAATACGATATATACTCTCGACCTTGTCGATGTTATTGGATACTGAATGGTTGGGAACATGATGACCCTACTGGGATGATATTGATATTAAGTATTGATAGTGATCTTGTACGATACTCCACTTGCACTGGATGATGAAATTCATAATCGAATGATGAATTGATATACTATAATACTGTTAACAGTGGTCATTACCACATGCAAACATACTGCTTATGTCAATACCAAACAATATAGTGGAATACTACATTACTAGCAAGAATACACATATAATTTGAATATAATCATTTGTATGAAGACTATAGTCAAAACAGCCTTAGATTAGAAAAAGCAAACTAAACCGATCCAATCCAAAGACTCCCATTCATTCATGTATTACCACCGGCCCAATTCAATCCATTCCAATCCATACTCACTACCTACCAACAATTACACCCCGTTCATATTAAACAAATCGAACCCATTACATCCTCATTCCACTCATGACCTTTATATAGACGAAGGACGTCATAAGGTAACTAACTAACCGCCTCCTGGCTGGTATGGTCCAAATCACATAGTAAAAGGGTAAGTAAGAAACGAACACACGGTGACAGATAGATCAACATGTAGTTCGTTGGTTTGAAATAGCATATATGGGATTTCGAAGTAGTCAGTTAGAGGGAGAACATAGTCATTAGTATGTCATAGGGATGAGATGTAACGAGAGGGGAGGATGCAGTGAGAAGAAAAGTGAAGCAAAAGCATAGGTTAGAATATGAATGATGAGGGAGAAAGTTTTAAGAAAACGGGACGGAAAAGACTAGGTAGGTAGGTAGTAGATGGATAAGAGGTAAGTGCCAGTAGTAGCCAATATGCATGACAGATTGATTATGCACGCCCGTGCATATGTGTGTGCGTGTGGGATGCATGCATGCATGTGAGCGTCCATTTGATAAGTCATGAAAAGTTCCCCCCAAACCGGTACCCGAACCCAAAGTTATTGTGTGATAGCCTGGCTTAGCTTAGCTTAGCTTATTTACAGCAAATAAAAGCATAATCGTCAAAATCATTGTCATAATAGCGAGGCGAGGGTAAATATAGAATAGAAAGTGAGGTAAAGTAGGCTAGCAACTATTGGTTCACACCTCCTTCAGCATTTCCTTCATTCTGCTGACTGCTTGATCCTCTCCGGTGGAAAGGATGATGCGGATGAAAGCCTGAGAAGTGGAAGACCTTGCGCACGGCGCTGGCTACACCCGAGCGCCGTTTGGACTCGGGTGACGACGGCGGCTTATCTGCAGGCTCCTCGGGTTTGGGCCGCACCGTCGCGGTGTCTTGGAGCACGATCGAGGAGGGTTTCGGGGGCCATTGGCCGTCCGATTTCCAGCCTTGAACCATAGCCTTGGTTACATCTGCGAGGTTGATCGGCACGGTGGGAGTGAGACCCTGGATGACGACTTTGGAGTAGATGGATGGGTACATCGCCGGGGTGATGGAGGCGCGGATGGGGTTGTCATTGGAGATTAGAGACGAGACGACAGGGATGAAGGGGTCTTCGCTGGTTGATGGTTGATGCGCAGAGTCAGGTTGACTCAACCCGGTATCTGCGGAGGAAGACTCTCCACCCTGGTTCTCGTCGTCCCCTGCGGGGGGAGGCGGGGGTGGTTGTTCTGCTGCCGTGGAGGGTTCTTCGCCGCGAGATGGCGGCCGTGGGAGCGCGCTGTCATTTTCGGCGATGCTGAGGGAAGCTTCAGTGCGCAGGGCGAGGTCGTTTTGGGAATTGGCCGATGAAGCGGAGAGGGGAGGGGTGGCCACGGTAGTAGCAGCAGGCACGGACGCATTATGTGGAGGTTGTTCCGAGGAGGATGTCGTAGGTGTAGCAGCCTGCTGGGTCTTTGCTTCTCTTGCTCGAATCTCGTCCCTTGAGAGAGCTCCAGACCACGCATCCCGACGCTCTACCCATGTCCGGAGGCCTGGGTTCCATTGCATTTCCTCCTCCATCTGGCGGCGCCGTTTGCGCCTCCGCTCGGAGTCGTCACTGAGCGGGGTTCCGAGCGGGCTGGCGAGCTCGGAGGCATTGTGACCACCAACAGGGCTGATGGCGGGCGAAGGCTGGGGTTCTAGCTCGGAGCCGGAGCTGTCATATTCGCGTCGACGCCAACGTAGGACATCTTGGTCGGGGGTGGGAGGAGATGAGAATGAAGGAACGCCAGGCTCGGAGGAGGGTTCAAAGACCCAGTCGTTCCGGACGATCTCGCGAACATAGCGCTTCGCATCTCGGATGGCGGCATCGCGGGCCTCGGTTGCCATCGTGAGGGGAATTGCCAGAGGGGCAGCCAGAGGTTAGAAGAGAGGCGCGGAGATTTTCTTTGGTCGCGTGCGGAGGAGGAAAAGAGGGCCTGCAGAGATTCTGCAGGGTGGGATAGCAGTTAGCCGCCAAGAAGGAAGAATAGAAGCGAGGGACTGAAACTGAAACGATGGTGGCGGGGGGAAAAGAAGAGGAGAAAGAGAAGTTGGCGAAGGAAGAGAAGAAAGAAGGTTGGCTGATCCAAGGAGAGCTGCCGCCTCGTCGATGTCATTCAAGTTACTGTTGCATCTTCCTCTTTGGATTTTTTAGTCTTTCTTCCCCGCAGAATTCACACTGCTACCGCAACCGATTTAAACCAATTCATTCCATCATCCCAATTCATGGAACGTCTCCTATTGTATCGAGAGTTAATATTATCTATCGGTTACAAATTCGACTGGAATCGTGTCCTGCTGCGGTATTGTATTGATACATTGTGGTTCGTGTCGCTAATCAGTTCCTAGTATACAAGCCCAATTCCTGCCCTTGCGTGCTATTCCAATTCCATCCCAATCCAGTCCTACACAAACGCGAAGAATATCAAGTTGATCTATGTGACATGAAAAACATCCAAGCAATCCCTTTCTATGAACCCCCAATTGCTTAACGCTGTACAATTGAATCAGTTCAGGTCCGGACGCGTGCTGCATCCACACTAGTTGCCGACTCGTCCACGCCCGCGGGCATGAAGCCCCAACCAGGCGCCTTCTTGCGTCGGCCCTTGCGGTCGCCGTACTGCTCGTCGAACTTGCGGATTGCAGAGAGCGATGACATATCCTCGCTGATCGATGCGCTAATCTCCTCCATACCACGCTCGAAGTGCTTCCAGGTCAAGGTGCGTCGCGCGGGATACTGGTACGGTTCTTCGCCTTGGTGCTGCGCTGCCAGGTCGTTCTCTTCCCGGACACAAGCCAAAGCGGCCGCAACGGAAAGGTTCTTGAGGTCGGATCCGGAATAGAGAGGCGTGCGACGAGCCAGCTCGGCCAGGTCAACCGAGCTGTCCAGGGTTTCCTCCTTCAGATGAATCTTCAAGATAGCCAGGCGATCCTGTTCGGTCGGAAGATCCACCAATAGTCGCCGGGGGAGACGCCGGAGAACTGCATCGTCGAGATCAAATGGTCGGTTCGTCGCAACCATGATAAAGGCGGACATGTCGTTCATCCCGTCCCATTCCCGCAGAAATTGGTTGATAAGCTCCCGGTGTGACGTTCGGCTGCTGGCTCCAGTGCGAGAACAGAAGATGGCATCGGCCTCGTCGATGAACACGACACAGGGGCTCAGCTTCTTAGCCAGCGTGAAGATGGCCTTGACGTTCTTTTCGCCCTCGCCAACGTACATGTCGTAGACTTCGGACCCGCTGACTTCCAAGACGGTGGCACCGCTTTCACGAGCCACGGCTTTCGCCAAGAGGGTTTTACCCGTACCTGGAGGCCCGTAGAGCAACAAACCAGGGATCTTGTCAGTCGCCAGAACACCGTAGGTGAACGCTTCGGGTCGGATCAGAGAAAGAGAGGTCAGAGTCTTCAATGCATCGATGGTTTCAGGTGGCACATGAACATCAGAGAAGGTAGTGCGGATGCTCTTGGCATCCACAACTCCATTCAATAGTTTCTTCTCGTGTGTGTTGCACGTTTTTCGCAAGGAGCCTAACAAGCGCTCCCGGTCGTTTCCTGTCTCGGTAGCCTTCGGTTTGGGCGTTTTCTCGTGCAGCCAGTCGTTCTTGACACGCTCAGTCTTCTGCATCATCTCAAGTCCCCGTCGAATGTGATCATAACCGAAAGCTTCATCTGCTCCTAGAGAACCAAGTGCCAGAGTCGTAGCCCAGTGAACCTGGCTGTATGGCCAGTACCGCTCATCGAGGCCACTTTCCTTCACGAGGGACGCATCCAAAGGCCAGGCGCGATCCCGGTAAATGTCGTCCTTGAGCGCCGAAGGGCTATCGGCGAGCCGCGTTCGGAGCAAATCTTGGACGTGGCGAATGTTGATATCGAGAGTGCGCGTCTTGCGGTCTTCCGCGAATACGCGCTCTGCAACCTCGGACTTCATGGCGGGTGTGATGACCAGCATCTGGGAGAATTGATCGTCAAAGGCGTTTTGCATGAGCTTGGCCGCATCCGAATCAGGTGCAGCTTCCTGTGCCGATGTACCAATGAAGAGGACCCGGGAACCAGCCTTTCTCTTCTCCTCTATAGCCTTCTGTAACAGAGTGATGAACTTGGAGCCCTCGCGGGTGGTCTGGATGTCTCCATAATCCTGTACTTGCACAATGACATCTCGCTCCACGGCGGGACTGCGACCTTCCGCCACTTCGTGCGCAGCAGAATCTTCTCCTTCAGTCGCTGCTGGCAACACCTGCTTCGACGGCTTGCTGGGCGACGACAGGAGCTCTCGAACAAGTCGGAGTCGCCTGTCCTCTGCGCGATTCACAGCACTCTGTGATGAAGAGCCACCTATCTGGTCCGCTGGCGCATTGAACGAGGCCACCAACGACTTCAGGCCCATTAGGTTGGGAAGCGCAATATCCCCCGAGTCACGAGTACTCTCGATAGTTATGAATTTAGGACGCAAACCCGACCGGAGACTGCGTGATGTGTCAATGTCGTCCTCGGCATCCCCATCACCCATGCCGTCGTCTTGCCAGGTATCAGAGAGGGACGGCCGGTATACCTCGTAGCCAAGCGATCTAATGGGCGATGTCGTGCCGATGTCCGCCAAATCCTGTTCGCTGCATAGCTGAGCAATGTCCTGCGCGTTGAGTGTAACCAAATCCGCCCCCAGCTCTTGGGCCAGCCTCTTCACCACCGCATCCAAGAACAGAATACCATCGGTACCCGGGTACTGAAGAACAAGATGCGATTTGCGTGCGGAGGGCTCTTGGGCGTACTTGGCTGGCGGTAGCCGCAACCCGGCTCGGGCAGAGGCGCACAGCTCTTCCCACAGCGCTTCCGTCAAAGCATACCGATCTTCCGGAGTTTCAGATCCCTCAGGCGCAGGTGGCTCTTCTCCACTACCGCCCCGTCCTAGCTGTTGTGTGGCCTCCTCCTTCTCCGGTATAATTTCCGTCGGCCGTATCTTCACATGCTGTAGTAATTTGACGTCACCGTCTCCCTTTCCATCATTGACCACCGTGTTTCGCTCGTAGAACCAGTCAGGAACAGTGGCAACCGGAGCAGTCCACTCCTTCGCCGGTCGTCTGTTCCGTAAAGCTCTGCGAACTGCCGAACCGTAGGGTTTCGCGTCCTTCTTGTCCAATCGATCTGCGGAAGGTGTTGCAACGGAAGCATCACGGCTAGCTAATGTGGGTTCTGCATTGTGAGTAGGGAGATCACCGGGGACATTCCCCGTTGTCGAATCCCGAGCATTATGAGGATCTGAAGGAGTGGACGACAGCCATGGTCGCGAAAGATGGAACCGACGCGATTGCGAGACAACGGCGGCGGGATAGCGGCGATGCGCGATGAATCGGCAGGGTCGTGCTACAGACCGAAGGAACCTGCCTTGGTGCATTGACGAATACATCCGGGGCCAACAGTGCCGCCGGAACCGAATAATTGACTTAATGCTGACGCTGCAGGGAACAAACCGTCTGCATCAGCGTGGGTGCAAGTTGGATTCAGGGCAGCAAGACTTTCATCTTGCCTTTCTGGACTGTTCCTTGCGGCTCGGCTCTCCTTTGTCAGCGCGCCGAACTGTAGTATCACGTGACTGACAATGGCTGGTGGCTGCTGCAAGTGCAAAGAGACCCAGTGGATCAGGCAGAGAGGATTTAAGCTTGATTGCAGTGATCTAACCACCTGGGAAAGGCCAACAAACGTAGGTGTCAACTCGACATGATGCATCATCCAGGTCGATGCTGCTTCGCTCAGCTGCACCTTTTCCTTACAAAAGAACTACTGCGGCTTACGGAAAGTATAATGCAACGAATACCCAATCTACGGTGAACAAGAAAACAAGAAGTAGAATGATCCAGAAATGAATGATTTTATTATTCCCAGTTTGTCCTAAATGTGAATCTGCACGGAATGGCGCCAGCCAGAGCAGATGATCGACACCGAAGCAAAGCCTGATGCAACCGGATTCCTGTACCCCACCACTCATGCTGGTTTGACAAGAGAATCAACGTCAGAGTGAAACTAAATTTATTAAAAGTCCTAGATTGAAAATCTTGGTAAACGTCAGCCAATACTCCCATGACATAGGATAAATGACAGCGAGGCACAAAATCAATGCAATGATGGGTTTTCTCAGACAAAGTATACTGGCAAGTAGCAGACCAACCGGGAAAGGAAGGTCCGAACTATCTCCTCATGGACGATTCAGAGGATAAAGAAGAAAAGAAGGTTTTGTCATCTTCGAAAAGGGGATGAAAGTGAAGGAAAGTGGGAAAGGACAATTGCAAGAAAGAAAATGAGGGATTGAGACTAACCTTGTGACAACTGGAAGTGTTGCAGCACAACCTGATGTGTTAGTGTAGTGGTCTGATGTATCAGTCTCAGTATGCATTTATACTGCGAAAAGCTACTACTGGGCATAGGATTGACGCGTGGCGTATCCAGACCAGAACCAAGAAGATTGTAGATGCACAGGATCAAAATGCAATTCTGGGAAAAGCCAGAAAAGCAGCCTGGCAAGAGTGTTGAGCCATGGAGAGGCGAATGCTGAAGAGAAGGAAGAAGAAAAACCAAATCGCGACCGAAAATAATAAAAGCTGCCCACGCGCAAGAATATTATTCCGGTTTACACGTGATGCAGGCTTACCCGAAAGAGGCATAGCGAGCAAGTCGCGGTGGGTGGCCATCGTCGAGAATGGGCCAATCACGGATGAGAAAAGAAAAGCCTCAGCAGGCCGGAGGAAGGAAGAAGATCTCGCCATGGGTCTGGTCTGTCTGTCTGTCTGTCTGTCTCTCTCTCTCGCTCTCTCACTTGGGTTCTGACTGACTTTCTGAGTGAGTAAGTGTTGTCCCGGCTGTACTCTCTCTCGCTGGCTCGTCGTCCCTTTCCCTGCCTTAGTATCTTCTGCTTCCCGTACGGTTCCTGTTCTCCTTCCCTCTCTCTCTACCTCGCTCTTTTTTTTTTCTTTCCTCTCTCTTCCTTCCTCTTAACCCCCATCATTCCTCTACCGCCTCCTCCAGATTTTCCTCCTTTCCCCCCTCTTCCCGCTTCTGGGCTGCTAGTTCTGTTGCGCGTGGTGAGTGTTTTTGGGTACCACTTTTATCTCTCTTC